AGGATAGGATGGTGGAAGAAATTAGGATTCTTCCTTGTATGTGTTACAACTGTTTTGATGTTTCTTCCTTGTTGTCATGGTTTGACCCTGGCACAATGCCAGCGCCCCATGAAAATACAACCTACCAATCAAATGCTGTGAAATGTGATCAAGAACAGAGCAAAGCAGGCCAAACTTAATAACAAAGGAAAAACTTTATTACACTACTACTACTACTATAAAAGGAAAAGAAAGAAAAGAAAAAAAACCACACAAAATTCGAAATTAAAACCTTCCAAAACATTCCTCCTCCCACCACCCAACTCCACCAAACCACAGCGAGACCCATTTGGATCCTTAATCAAGTTTTCACCCTTCAATATAATCAATACCGAGTCCGTCGGGGAAGAGAGGAGTCCCCCTTGCACCACAGACCCCCAGAAAACACAGCTGCCACCTCTTGTGTTTCCAATGTCACACGTGGCACTGCCCAGACACACCGGCCAGTGTGACATTCTCCTCTCCATGTCACAGTGCTCTCACCACCGGGCATGGACAGAGACTGCTTATAGGGCCCCTTTAAGGGTGCTTTGCCAAGGACCACCAGGAACAACAGTCCAGTATCACAATTCGGGACTAGAGTCCCTCCCATTTTCCCCTGGGGCTGAGGGTCCAAGGACAGAGATCTCCTTCTCTTCTTCTCTGAAGATGGAGGGCATCCTCACACCCTCCTCAGCTCTCTCTGTCCATTCCAGAACTGGTAGTTGCTGAAGAAGGTCTCTTGGCTCACCAGTGCATCCCCCTAAAATGCAGTCCCTCTTGAAAGAAAGAGTGGTTCAGTCTATGGTAAACAAGCAGAGTCCAGCCAAAAGCCACTCCATCATCTCCCCCCAACCTTCTTCTCTGAACATCTGAGGTCCCAGGCTGTCTCTCTTTCCTTCAAATTGAGGAGGAGTAATATTTCATGAAGCCTTCATTTCACAGGAAAGGGTTAAAATTCCCGGACTCCCCGGACAGCTGAAATCTCAGCCCAGGACTCTGTCTCCAGTCTCCCACGCTGGGCATCTTCTCCCCCCCCTTCTCCTTCTCCTCCGCAGGCAAACTCCCAGGTGCCTGCAGGCTCTCTATCTCTTTTCCCTCTAGCTTAGGGGAGGGGGAACAAAGACATCTCAGATGTTCTCCACCCTTCCATCCGCAGGAGCTGGCCCAGCTCGGTTCCGATCCTCCACCCCCTGGCCTACCTCTGCAGGCCACATGGCTCCCCTCCCCCACCCAGCCCGGGCTGGGGGGGGAGGTCCGTACCTTGCGATGACCGGAACCAAAGAAGGACGAGTCCTCCTGGGAATTCCGCTTTTAACCCCTCTGTGTTCTCAGAGGCGTGTCCACCTTCAATTGGTCACCCCAAGTGTCAGTATCCAAACCTGACCCCTGACTGGATTGACCTCTTCCTTCCAAAAAAAAATTCTCTTCCCGTGTCAAACCATGACACTTGTTTAATCCCATATTTTATTTGATTACCAGTGTGAAAAATGCCAATCACTTGTTTTTTTAAATTTTAAAAGTTTAATAACAATAAAATGGTTATAAAAATAGTAATACAACTAGCGTAATAAAAATTTAGAGTTAGGACAATTACAAGACAATAAAAAGCAAAGAATTACGGACATCCAGATGCTCTTGGACACTAGGTCACAAAAAGCATGCCTTGTGTACAAAGGAATAACCTTAAAAGCAATAGCCTGTTGCATATTCATATATCTCATACATGATGCATAATTCTTTTCAAACAAAGGGTGTTCTCTGGTTATCGTCAACTTCTTCCCCTTAATCCTGGTGGTTTCATAAACACAGAGAGAAGGTTGAAGAATGTTTGTCTTTTCCGATAAAGAGGCAATAACTCTTTATGGGCCCTTTCACTGTTATCTCTGTGCGAAGAATTTCTTGATTATCTCATCTCTTTCTTGAGCTAGTTAAAAAGTATCTTACATAGCATAGTTTCTGTTATAACCTGGTATAACCTAAAAATACATTTAACACACTACTTAAGAGAATTAATACAGCATAACTTTCTAACATTACACATATAATATTCATGGTAATATTTGCGAAAAGCCAATCATAAAGTATGCATTTTTCACAACCAGCATAGTTCAAAGAATGCACGTGGACAAGAAATGCTGCTCAAGCCAAATGATTTATAAAGAATAAGAGAGGGGATTGTGAAAAATGCATATTAAATGATTTGCTCTTTGCAAATATTAAATTGAATACTATATGTGTTATGTTGGAAAGTTATTTTGCAGTACTGTATTAATCCTTTTTAAGTAGTGTGGTAGATATTGTTTTAGGTTATAACATAATGTTAAAATAGAAACTATGTGATGTAAGATTTTTTTTTAACTAGCTCAAGAAAGGGACGAGATAATCAAGAAATTCTTTGCATAGAGATAGCATCAACAAGACACCTAAAGAGTTACTGCCTCCTTTTTGGAAAAGACAAACATTCTTCCACTTCCTCTCCATCTTTAAGGAGCCACGAGGATTAAGGGGAAGAAGTTGATGATAACCAGAGAACACCCTTTGTTTGAAAAGAATTATGCATCATGTATGAGATATATGAATATGCAACAGGCTACTGCTTTTAAGGGGTAATCCTTTGTTAGCATGTGTGCTTTCTGGGCTTAATTTCTCCAGGAAGGCACCTGGACAGTCTGTATTTCTTTGTTTTTTATTGTCCTTTATTGTCCTAACTCTGATTGTCCAAATTCTTATTACTCTATTTTTATAACCATTTTATTTCTATTAAACTTTTAAAATTTTAAAACAAGTGATTGGTGTTTTTCACACCAGGTGCTCATCAAAGCTGCTCTATCACTTCCCTCTTCAGCTGGACAGGGGAGAGAAAATATAATGAAAGACTCATGAGTCTTTCATTATATTTTCGGACAAGGAGAGATCACTCAATAATTACCATCACGGGCTGAACAGACTCAACTTCAGGAAATTATTTTAATTTATTACCAATGGCTATTACCAATTAACAACAGAGTGGGATAATGGAAATAAGACCAAATCTTAAAACAACTTATCCCCCACCCCTCCCTTCTTCCCAGGCTAAACTTCGCTCCTGATATGTCTCCCCTGCCCTCTCCCGCAGGAGGGCAGGGAGATGGGGAATGGGATTTGCAGTCAGTTACTATCACACCTCTCTGCTGCTTCTTCCTCCTCATGTTCTTTCCCTGCTTCATTGTGGGGTCCCACCCACAGGAGACAGTTCTCCACAAACTTCTCCACCGTGGGTCCTTTCCACAGGCTGCAATTCTTCATTAACTCCTCCAGCATGGACTCTCCATGAGGTCACAGGTCCTTTGGGTGCATCCACCCGTTATCAAACAAGTTATATTTCTTTAAAAAGGAGCCTAGGCAGCAGAATTAATCTGTGAAATAGGTAACAGATTATGGGCAAGATTTGGGTGATGTCCATGTGATAGAAAAACAAATTAAAAGTTTACAGCCACATGTTGCCCTCTCCCCATCAGCTGAGGTACTAGGAAGGTACAGCCTTTCTGAATCACCTATCACATACCCATCCCCCCCCCCCCCCCCCCCCTTGATCTTGTCATTTTCACCCAAAGTTCAGAAACTCAGACTTTTGCAGACCCATTTGTCTGTTTCAGGAGTCAAACTGTGGGGGTTCTGTAACAAACCTGCGCTTGAAGTTGGTAGAGACATTAAGACCCATTTCAAAGACGTTAACAGCCATACCCTCACCCATGGAATTATTTGTAAAGACATTAGCACACATCTTCCCTCTCACTACTGTGGTGTGTTGTAGGTTTGCAGGAAAGAATGAGAAACTGACCCTATCTTTGCAATATGAGTCCACAGGTGCAGGTACGGTGTGACTGTAGGTGTGACATGGGATGATGTGTTATAGATGCATATTATATGATTGGCTCTTCGCAAATATTAAAATGAGTACTATATGTGTTATGTTGGAAAGTTATGCTGTATTAATCTCTTTTAAGTAGTGTGGTAAATATAGTTTTTGGGCTATATCACAATATTAAATTAGAAACTATGTGATGTAAGATACTTTTTGTAACTAGCTCAAGGAATGGATAAGATAACCAAGAAATTCTTCACATACAGATAACAGCAACAAGACACCAAAATCCAGAGAAGAATTATTGCCTCCTTATCTGGACTGTTCGGACTTCTTCCAGACTTCTAGGAGCCAAGAAATTGATTTACAAGATGAAGGGGGGGGGGGGCAGAAACTAAGCAGAAGACATCCTTTTTTGAAAAGATTTTTTGAATCATGTATGAGATATGTCACTATAGGACATGTGAAAGCATGATGCAAGCCGCTGCTATTGCAAAGGTGAAAAAGAGGAAGTTTATTTTTTGACTCCAGCATTTATACTTTTCCAAAGGTGACAGTGAATTGGAGGGTGAATGTGCCACCTCTCCAACGACATTGGACAAACTACTAGTACATCAAATTTCTCCGCCTCTATGAAGGAATGCAAAACAATAGGTTGTTTACAGAAACTTGTGTGAGAAAGTTCTCTACAAGTATGTAAACTCAGAAGGCTTTAGAAAATCTTAAGAATCAGGGCAACAAGATATATGAATATGCAACAGGCTATTGCTTTTAAGGGGTAATCCTTTGTTAGCAAGGTATGCTTTTGTGGCTTAGTGCCCAAGAGCATCCAGACGTCTGTAATTATTTGCTTTTTATTGTCCTTTATTGTCCTAACTCTGATTGTCCAAATTCTTATTGCTCTAATTTTTATTACTATTTTTATAACAATTTTATTACTATTAAACTTTAAAAATTTTAACACAAGTGACTGGCATTTTTCACAGATGGAAGGGGGGAGAAAAGGGACAGGCAGGAGGAGTGGTACGTGCAGCGTTACTTTAAGAACAGCTCTTCCTCGCGCTCGGGCCTCAGCAAGGGGAACTACAACTCCCAAGAGCCTTTGCAACATCAAGCGCAGGAGGAGTCACGCCTCAAGTGTGGTGGGAGCCTACGCGACATCGAGGGTGCTCTTCTGCGGGCGGGGGCGTAGCCATTGGCTGAACTACAACTTCTAGCAGCCCTTCACACATCTCGCGCGTGCGCACGGCCTTGGTCCGGCCACACTGCCGTTGTCGCCGTAGGTGTGTGTGGAGGGGGGAAGGGAGTGAGCGAACGCGGCGGTGAGAAGGGGGGTGAGAGTTCAGAGTTCAACCGCCGTTGTCCCTGCTAGCTTGCACTCATGATTCCTATATGCCCGGTAGTTTCTTTCACTTATGGTAAGTAATGGCCCTCGATGTTTCTGTGTGTCCGTGAGCGTGGGGGGGAGGGGGGCGGCGGCGAGGGGGAGGAGATGCGGCCCGCGCGCGGGGCGGAGGAACGGTGGTCCTGAGGCGCCATGTCTGACCTGGCGCTCGCGCGCACTTCTGTCTCTTGTCTGTCTGTCCCTTTCTCTCCCCGCCTCCTCCTTCCGGGCCTCCTGTCATGGCTCCGACCGCTGCCGCCTCTTGGTTATCTTCGCCACAGTGCCCAGCCGCCTGGGAGAAGATGCCAAAATGGCCACCGGCAACTACTTTGGATTCACTCATAGCGGGGCTGCTGCCCAGTATAGGTAACCACCGTGACCCGTCCCTCCCTCTCTCCCTCTCTCCCTCCCTCTCTTCCTCTCTCCCTCCCTCCCTCCCTCTCTCCCTCTCTCCCTCCCTCCCTCTCTCCCTCTCTCCCTCCCTCCCTCTCTTCCTCTCTCCCTCCCTCTCTTCCTCTCTCCCTCCCTCTCTCTCTCCCTCCCTCTGTTCTTGCCCGGAGTCACTTCCCTCTTCGCCTCCGGTTTCGTGTCCCTGATCGGGATCTCCCCCCCCCTCGGGGTGAGTGCTCGGGACTGCTCCCATCCCCTGCCCCGTGTAGGGCCTGATTCTGCAACACGCTACGCTGCGATAGTTTGTGCTTGAGACCCATCTACTTATCTACCTCTCCCGCAGGTGTGTTTTCTTATCCTGGTAAGGACCTCCCTGTATCCCCAGTGGTGTGAGGGTGGGGAGGTGGAGCCGGACACCACGGAGGAGGCAGCATTAAATCCCAAGGCTCTTAAATTAAAATGGTCACTTAGAGTCAACAACGCCAACAAGTTACTGTCTGCTGACCCCCGGACACTTCTCCTTCAGTGAAGATGGGGCTTGCTCCCCAAGTCTTTGCTTCCCCCTATGTCAGTGTGGGAGGATGGAATCGTTTTTAACACGTGTTAAAATTTCACCAACCTAACCTATGGGATAGATAAGGGAAGAATAGAAACACCAGAAAATACAGGGGACTGTCCCATTCAACTGAAGCAATGTTATAAATAATGTATCAGAAAGTAGAGACTGTACTTTTGGAGCCATGCTCCTTTTAAAAAGATTTTCTACTTGGGTATCTAAGATCAGGAGCAGGTCTTATAGTGGAGCTTGGGGACCTGTAACCATATATTTTGTATAGGTATGTTGCCTTAAATTTTTGCATCTTTTTGCATCCAAATTGTGTGTCAGACTGTTAAAAAGTAATTAATAGCATCTATTATCTCACTTTTTCTGAAATCAAATTACTTAATTTGGCAAAACCCAGATACAATCATGAATATCATCACATTTTTGGCTTGTGTTGGAGTAGCGCCTTGAAGTTCATATTTGAATCTTTGTTATTCGTTTCATAAATTTATAATAAAGGCCTTCCTTGACTCCTAAGTTTTAGTTAATTGGAAAATAGTAGGATAAAGCAAATATATGAAATATGAGGGATTATTGGCAAATGAATGCAGATGTGTGCTACTGTTATCGATCTAATCAAAATTGCATACCTGACATAGTTTCAGGAATATACAGTTTTATGTGGGTCTTGGAATGACTCCCAAGTGATTCTTTTCTGGAAATGGATATAAAATAAATTAATTTCCATTTACTCCAATGTATAATAGTTAAAGGAGAGGATTAAAATTAGCTAATCTTTTTGTTCTTTTTTTTTTTTTTAATTAGGTGCTCACAGTATGTTTATGTTTTACTTGACAGTTGTGAAATTTGAAAGTGTGTTGTCATGGGTATTAAGGAGTTTTTTAATAACATAGAGGATCTTTTTGTAAATAAATAATATTTGATTGAATAATAAACTGAGATCCATATATAAATGCAATTTTGAAGTGGCGATTAATTTTTTAAAATTGTTATTCCTTTTATTGTGGAGCTGAGGTGGTCTGTAGAATTAAGAACCTGAACAACTAATTTGAAATTTCCTTAAAAGCATATAATTGGAATACAGTTCAAGTTCAAAACTCTTTTTGTAGTTAATCCTAAATGTATTCTTGAGAAAATGAAAAGACTTATTGATTGAAAGCTTTTTCTTTTGCTATCGAAAGTACAAGATACTATTCCATTTACATATAAGTAAAAGACTATCCTATAAATGTTTTTTTATATTTGCCATGTCTGAAAGTGAAGAGACAAAGCAATCACTGTTAACGCAGTCCTTTCATAAGAATGAATTTAATATTTTGAACAGAAAACACAGGAGTCGGTGTCTAAAAGGGAGTTTATCTTAATGTAATTACATCATGATTTAGTGAGAGAAGCATTAGATTATGCAAATACCAGTACAGAATATTTTTCTGAATATTGCAATACCTTTGTGCTAGTAGTGGTATTTGGCCTAGGGTTATAAACCTGCAATCAATACAAAACTCTGTTACTTATTTAAGTAACTATTAATCCATTTATTTACAAGCCTGAAATAAATGTGAAATTTGGTGATACTAGTCCTCTTTAGTTTGTATGTGTGTCTGTGCATTCTGTAGGCCACCGTAACAACTGTGTGTCTATTCAGTTTGATATGAACAACCTAATATTGGCTTGTTTTTCATGTGTAAAAAATAGTAGCATTCTTGATTCATTGCTGGAGAAGAGGCATAATTATGCTTTTATTTTGAAGTTGGCTGACTGAAATGTGAGGATGCTGATGGAAAGATAGGGACATTGAGAATTGTTTGGACAGAGAAGTGTGCAAATGTGATGGTCTCTATCTTGTTTCAAGATTTTGGTTCCTGTTAAGAAGATAAAGAACCTTTGAGCATCTGAGTTTCATCTTACTTATGTTCATACCATGTACCTACTCTAATGAGACAGGTCACAGATGTGATATTCTTGGGTAGTTAAGAGTGAATTTTTAACTTTGAATTGCTAAGTGTGGTGAGTCTTTGCAAGTAAAGGCAATTAATTGTAGTAAATAGGGTCCAGAGCCAATCACAATGCCTGTGAGTTTAGATTGAGATGCAGTCTTCTAGGTAGCCATATGGAAGTGAACTCTTGCAGTTATAGCTAGTTTTCTATTCAAGTGCAGTGTATGATGTTACTGGATATTCGAGACTTGTACAGAAGTATTATGACCTGTCCTAGAAGGCAAGGGTAACCTAGGTTCTTGTTAATCCCTTGGGGTGGATTAGAGTGAAATGACACTGATTGATGTTTGTAAAAATATACATTTAGGATTTATTTTAGAACAATTTGGTTGCAATGGAAAGCAGGTATGTAGCCATTTGGGTTATTATCTATAGTAATATAGCAATATAAAAGCATGAAAATATCATTTAAGAAAATGTATAAGGGAAAAGAACGAAAGGATAAGAGTAAGGGAACAGATCACTACCCATGGATCTGCAATGAGAGTTGATGCAATTTCGATGTCTGTTGGTCACAGTAGTGATCACTGTCTTGATCCATTGGGGGTGAGGAAAAAACCCTTGAAACACAAAGTCCAATGGGTTAAAATATGCTCAGGCTGTGTGGGAACATCCAGGTACCTCCCCTGGGGGGAAGCTTTCAGTCTTCTGGTGGAAGGCCTCAGAAATTAGTCTGGGGGAACTTTGGGGGTCTTTGATGGTTTATGACACCTTCTAAGACATGGTATCTGCCTCTCACATCAGCACAGTTGAGCCAGTTACGCCCCATCAGACCTGGAGTCTTGTGTCCAGTTCTGGGCTCCCCAGTGCAAGAGAGACATAGACATTGGAGAGAGTCCAATGAAAGGCCACAAAGATGATGAAGGGGCTGGAGCCTCTCACCTATGAAGAAAGGCTGAGAGAGAGAGCTCAGACTGTTTAGCCTATAGATAAGAAGGTTCAAGGGGGATCTTGTTCATGTATATAAATACCTAAAAGAAGAGTGCAAAGAGGACAGAGCCAGGCTCTTGTCAGTGATGCCCAGTGAGAGGACCGGGGGCAATGGGCACAAACCAAAACACAGGAGGTTCCCTCTGGACACCAGAAAATGTTTTTTAAACTGTGAGGGTGACAGCACTGACACAGGTTGCCGAGTAACCTTCTGGAGTCTCCCTCCTTGAAGATGTTCAAATAGTAGTCTGGACATGGTCCTGGGCAACTGGCTCTTGGTGGCCCTCCTTGAACAGGATTGGACCCTCCAGATGTCTCTTTCAACCTCAGCCATTCTTTGATTCTGTGATTTTGACAAGGAAAATGTTAGTGGTTGATAGTTTTAGGCAGACATAACATCTAAAGCTCAGTTCTTTTTGTCATGCGTTATAATTGTGAACATGGCTGTTATCTAGACTTGAATAACATCAATGTTTTGATAATGAGCTGTCAATGGTGTGCAACCAAGTAAAGAGAAGTAGATGGATGAAATCTGCAAGATTATGAGCCAGTGTGGCCCTTCACTCCACAGAAAATCAGATTGACATAGAATTGAAGATTAGTGTGGAGAAAAATACATGGTCACAACTTGCTGCAATCAGCCTTATCTAGAAGGTTTATTATAGTGGCATTTCATAATATATGGCACTTTTTCTGATACTAATGTATCACAAACATTAGTATTTTCCATCACTAATGTCAGTAGAATTTAGTGCAGTTGTGTCCTACCAGCTGGGGGAGGGGCACTTGAATCTGCTTTCTAGAGGGACCCCTTTGGAAGTTTCCTCCCAAATTTGCCCTAAACCAGGACAAGTTGTTATTCAAAGATTTGAGTCAAAGGTGTTTTTAAAAAGCCCAAACTTTTCTCATGCACTGTAGTACAATAATTCTATGTAAAGAATTAATTCTCTTGATCCTTGAGGTTTTTTAGGTAAGATATGAAAGATGAGAGGAAGCTAGGTATGCATCGGGGTTGTCCTGGTTTGACACTGGTGCAATGCCAGCGCCCCCCATGAAAATGCACCTTCCCAAATGAATGCTGTGAGATGCGATCCAGAACAGAGCAGAGCAGGCCCAAGCTTAATAACAAAGGAAAAAAAAAACTTTATTAAACTATAAATAAAATTAAACTATCCTATGATAAAAAGAAAGGAAAAAAAACCCCAAACCCCACGCACTAAATTCAAAATGAAAACCTTTCAAAATATTCCTTCTCTCCCCACCCAACTCCAACAAACCACTTTGAGACACGACTTGGACCCTTAATCAAGTTATCACCCTTCAGTATAAGCAATACTAAGTCCATCAGGGGAGAGAGGAGTCTCCCTTGCACCATAGACCCCCCAGGAAACACAATTGCCACTTCTTGTGTTTCCGTGTCACATGGCACTGCCCGGAGAGAATCTGCCAGTGTGACACTCTCCTCTCCATGTCACAGTGCTCCCACCACCGTGCATGCACAGACTGCTCATAGGGCTCCTTTAAGGATTCTTTGCCAAGGACCAACAGGAATAACAGTCCAGTGTCTCATTTTGGGACCACAGTCTCCCCCATTTTCCCCCGGGACCGAGGGTCCAAGAACAGAGATCTTCTTCTTTCTGAAGACAGAGGGCATCATCACACCCTCCTCAGCTTTTCTCTGTTCACTCTATTCTCGTACTGGTAGTTGCTGAAGCAGGTTTCTTGGCTCACCATGCATCCCCCTAAAATGCAGTCTCTCTTGGAGGAGAAATTGGTTCAGTCTATGGCTAACAAGAAAAGTCCAGCCAAAAGCCACTCCATCATCTCCCTCCAACCTTCTTTTCCTAACATCTCAGGTCCCAGGCTGTCTCCTTCAAATCGAGGAGGACTAATATTTCACAAAGCTCTCATTCCCCAGGAAGGGGTTAAAAGTCCCGGACTTCCCGGACAGTTGAAATCTCGGCCCAGGATTCCAGTTCTCATGCTGGGCACCTTCCCCCCCTCGTCCTTCTCCTCTGCCGGCAAACTTCCAGGTGTCTTCAGGCTCTCTGTTTCTTTCCCTCTGGGGGGGAGGGGGGGGGAACAAAGACATCTCAGACTTCCTCCACCCTTCTGTCTGCAGGATCTGGCTCTGTTCCAGATCCTTCATCCCTGGCCTACCTCTCCAGGCCACATGGCTTCCCCTCCCCCACCCAGCCTGCTGCTGGGCGGGGGAGAGTCTACACCCTCCTATGACCAGAACCAAAGAGACAGTTCTGGGAGTTCTTGCTTTTAACCCCCTGTGTTCTCAGAGGCATGTCCAGCCTTCAGTGGTCACTCCAGGTGCCAATACCCAAACGTGACCACTGATTGGTTTGACTACCAACTTCCTGAGAAAATTCCCTTCTGTGTCAAACCACGATTGGGTCTAAAACTTCTGAATATAAATGAGCTTATTTGGAAGGAGGAAGCAAAGAGCATGTCTCCCTGAAAATGTTGGGATAAATTAAACTCTCTAACACAATTTTTTTAGTATTAAGGAGTAGGCATTACTTTATTCCAGGCCAGGTGCATAAGGGGATAGCTACACCTAGGTGCACACAACTTTTTATTTATTTATACATTATTAATAAACAAATTAATGTTCATTGGTTCTAAATTACATAATTCTCTTCATTAATTAGTATTCTGTCTTCTATGGGTTATTGATTTCCCACTTCTCATGCTCATTAGTCCACAATTTAAGTATTTTTATTATCTTTTTCCCAGACAGGGAGTGTGCAGCACATTTTAGATCATCTTTCTTAGTCACGTCTTTATCTTCTGGTTACTTCGACATGTCCTTGGAAAGCTCTAAATTCTGGATTCCAGGTGTCCAGCTTTTAACTCCGTCAGGCTTTGTTCATTGAAGCTTATCAGGGTTAGTTTAGCAAAACTTAAAGTTTCAATGATCTAATAATCAAGCTCTTAACAATAACAGTCTGTTAAAAAAACAAATCAGCTACATGCTGGCTAAAAATTACACTGCTTAAGAGTAATATACTGCTTATGATTATTTACAGCAATTAATAAAAAAAGTTAATTAAAATGATTAGATAGGAAAGTTATATAATTTCCAACACATGGGGAAATAGGGATATGCAAGTAGTAGTTTAGGGCAGGTAGGGAGTGATGTAAAACATTAAGTAAGGTGCTGGAAATGACCTATGTCTTGGTTTGAAAAGAGAGGTGTCTGGTAAGGAAGGCAGAAGCCTTCTTTGAAATGGAAAATGTAAACCCCCTCCCTCCGAATTATTACAGTTTTTAAATTAAGGGGCTCTCAGGCAAAGATATGGGAATAGGAATAACAGTTCTTTACTAGGAAAATTAAAAATCCAAATGCAATAGTACAAAAAAACAAAACAGCACTGAGTCAGAATACGACCTGACACCCTGTGGGTCAGGGTGTTGGTAGCAGTCTGATTAAATGGTGGCTGCAGTCCTCCTGGAGTGACAGATGTGGTTCCATTGAAGCAGTGATCTTGTAGAAGGGTGTAGTCTTCCTCTGAAGTGTGGTGTAAATGGGCCTGATCTTCCTCTGGGAATCCAGTGGAGAAGACAGCTGCTCCTTGGGGAATCCAGTGGGAAAAGGCTGCTCTGGTGTTCCAAAATCTCAGATTATATCCAGGTAGGAATGCTTGGCTGCTCCCCCTGGGTGGAGCATCTCACAATGGGATGATGTAATTTTATCAGTCATGCAGTGAGACTCAATGGCCCATTAACAGAAGATATTTCCCAGAGGGGGGATTGGTTTGTGGAAGAGATAAAGAAAACTGTTCAATTGACAGAGAATAACTGCCCCACCTCTAACAGATGGCAAATAAAATACACACCCCAGCTACATCTTTCAACCTAAGATAACCTGTCATTGACTAAAACATACATCTACAGAACACGGAGAAGAACAATTGAGTGCAACATGTAGCCTGTACACTGGCTGCGACTGTGATAGTGAAAACACAGTGATATAGAAATCCAAGATAGAAGATGAGTGTTGCAGAACATGTGTTGTTCCTAGAAAATTGAAATTAAAGTGAGCTTTGTGGGGAAGCACTGTTACTTTTATGATCAGCTAAAGAAATAGGTGTGGTATGAATAAAATGCATTCATTTTGAATGAAAATCTTTGGCAGAAGACATTAACGCAATGTAGCAGAGTAAGATTTGAAGCTCACGAGTCCTTTGCCTGTAACTTCTTAAGTCAAAGAGTGATGTTTATTGTGATAGTAAGTTAAAATACTGTAAGAATTGTAATATGAAGTTACCTTGAATTGGATGTTCACAAACTGGGTTTTCTTTAAGTAAATATTGGTTTAGAAGTCTTTTGCTTTTGAAGCAATCTTTCATAAACTAAGGAAAAAAAATTTGACAGTGAGGGTACTTAGATATTGGAACAGGTTCTCTAGAGCAGTCTTGGATACTCCATTCTTGGAGATGATTGGAACCTGACTGGACACAAAGCCCTGAAAAAACTAATGCAACTTTGTTATTAGCTGTGCTTTGGGCACAGGGTTAGAACAGATGACCTCATAATCTTTGTTTCAGCCTAAATTATTCTGTCATTTTTAAGTTCTATCTAGTTAGTAAAGCCAGTTGGACTACATGTCTTTTCATATGAAGAGCACTCAAATTCTTTGAACTCAAAGATGCTATTACGGATATTAGCATTTATTTGGGGGAAGAGAAGACTTGATCTAAAAAGAAAACTCACTAAGGTACCAGGTCAATCAGTTAGCTTCTCTGTCTGCTTCTAATTTGGTTCAACTTTTCCCCCACTGTGTTAGGGGATTAAGCTAAATTGAATTACTTTGTTGCAGTAAAGAGCACATGTAGTTTGTTACCATAGCTCAACTGACATACCGTATTTCATTGTTACCCTAATAACTTGATTAAATGACTGTTTTTGAGTCTTATTTATTAGGACTAAGTTGAAATACCTGATGGGGTGCAATATGGAAAATTATTACTTAAGCTTGAAATTAGTAAAAGAATTGTAGAGAAGGAGCGGGTAGAGGTCGTTAGTAGAATTAGAAGAGTGATTATCAGAGGAATAGTTGCAGTGGAGTACTCTAGGGATTGATCTTGAGTCTTATTATTTATGGTGCATTGTGATATTTGATGCAAGGGAAATATTGTCAATACACAGGTAACTTTACAAGAAGCTGCTCTGAGGAAGCTAGATTCTTTGGAAAAAAAGTCTGGAGCAGAGTGAGTGGCACAGCCGAAACTTAATCTCAAATGATCCATACAGTTCTTGCCATCTGTAGTAATGAAAAAAATAGATAATACTAGGATATGGGCAATGAAAAATTGCAAGAAAGATTGGTGGGAGAGGGAGCTAGCAAAATAGTCTGGAGGGAGGTAAGTTCATCTTGGCTGATATGGTGAGGCACTAATCACCAAACAAGGATTAAAAACTCTTGTAAGTTAAATGACAGTGACACAAAAATATTTTGATTATAAATCAATTACCTGAAAGTATCTGGTCATCTTTATGCTAAAAGGTTCTCAGTAAGACCAAGGGGAGAAAAAGAAACATAAATTTAGAAAATATGTTGATATGTATTTCTGTAACATAGCATAACAACTTTTAAAAATGAAGTAGCAGACAATTCTAGAATATTTTTCTTGTGGTCTTGCAAACTCGGTCACTAGCTCTGCATGGCGTTGCAGAAGCAAGCGGAACACATTTGCTAAAATAAACATGGTCATAGAATTATATTAGCCTTAGAACTCAAATTAATTGAGCTTCTAATTCTATACCATGATATGGAAGTTTAGTACAAAAATAGCACAGAAGAAATTTAACTGTCAGCAGAATCTTGTTAATAGTCCTGCTCATAATGATCACAGTCTCTTCACAATATTAAGCACTGAAAACTGTCAGTCAGCTTTAATCATATATATATTCTGAGAACAAAAGCATTTTTGTTGATAGACTGATACTGTTACCTCATAGTGTGTTGTTAACACTGTATTATATTTTGTAATAGTAACTTAAGCACGGTTTCATGAAATTTGAGACAGATTAATGCTTCCTGGGCAAGTCCCTGTTCTTTCTCTCTCTCCCATTATTTATTTTCCTTTGCTGCCATATGTATAGCTTATGTGTGTTCTAGCACTCAGCAGACTGTTTTGTGAGCTACAGTGTTTCTAACATTTCCACTATGATAGAAAATGAACTCAGGAAAAAAAAAAAATTTAAAAAATCTCGTTGTTTTCTGCTAGATTAATGAGTTAAATCAGTGCAATGAATAGCTTGACAAGTAGCAGAACTAGCACTAGGGATGAAATAGAATGGCATAGCCAGGTTTAGTATATGGGAGGAAGGAGGAATAAGAGTGGGGAAGAAGACTTTTCCTTGTTGGCAGTATTAGAATGTTGATGTGTTCAAGTGCAGTCTGAGATAGTTTACTGCCTGTTTTCCCAATGTAATGTATTTTTAGTAGGTACATATGATAATGCGAATTACCTCAGAACGTATTAATATTTTACACTTTTGTACTGTTAGTTATGTAGATAATACAGCCTAATTTTATAAATTGTCATTCACTTTTACCATCATAAAATAGTCTTCCTGAATTTTCTGATGGAATTTGATTTCTCACTTTAAACTGACAAAATAGATAAACTGTCTATATACATCAAGCAGTGGTGGGAGCTACACCAGAGTGAGTCAGGTCTTCTCCTTCCACTGTTATGCTAAGAAGTTGAAAATGAAATGAAACATAATTGTGAATACAACTCACAACTGAATTAAATTTGGATGAAATGCAAGTGGTTTTTAAAGGAAACAGGGGCCTAAGATGGGAAGAAGGTGGAGTCCAGGTGTGTAAGTACAATAATAATATTTTGTCTGTGTGTTTTTGCTGTAAGATTTTTAAAAAAATATATTGAAGTTAATGGGTTCTGCTGTAATTAAAATTACAAAATCATTTTTTATTAAAATAAAAGTTATTAAACAAAAGGGAGTTATGGAAATGTCTTTTGCAAAAATAATAGTAACTATAGTTAAAAGGTGCTTGCTTTGTTTCTGATAACTGTCAGAGAGAATATTGCAGTCTTTAGGAAAGAAATACTGTAACTCATTCCTTTTGGTTTTGAGCATAATCATGCTGAAATTCCATTTTGAGTGTTTGCTTCCAACAAGATTTACTTTATCTATTTTTTTTTTCTAAAAATTAGAGGATACTACCTCTTTGATATGTATGGACTTGTTTTTGAATAATCTTTTAATAGTGCTATGAAGATGTGAAACTCATGAAAAGATAACTGTGTAAGACTTCTGTATTATTTTGAATTAAAGGCTTGGGTTATTTTCAAGCAGTGGAACACAGCTACCACCACTCCTTGCTAAGAAGAAAGTCATTGCCTGCATGATATACTTCCATTCACAGAAACTTCAAAACAATACAGCCTTTTTAATGGGGTGGATAAGAGGCAATAAAAGTAATTACAGTGTATGATAGCTGTTCCAGGTCTGTTTGTAGAACAGACAAGTATGAATCAAATCTGGGAGTTTGAAATGTTTAGGCATTAGATGAGTATGTTGGATTAATCTAATTACTTACTTACTGTCTTTTTCCAATGTAGCCAGCAGCCAGCTTCGGGCGTAGCTTATTCCCATCCAACTACAGTTGCCAGCTACACTGTCCACCAGGCACCAGTTGCTGCGCACACTGTCACTGCAGCCTATGCTCCAGCAGCAGCTACAGTTGCAGTAGCCAGGCCTGCTCCAGTAGCTGTTGCAGCTGCTGCAACAGCTGCTGCTTATGGAGGCTATCCTACAGCGCACACAGCTACAGATTATGGTTATACACAGAGGCAACAAGAAGCTCCACCACCACCACCTCCTGTCACTACACAGAATTACCAGGTGTGTTTAAAAAAAAAAAAAGTGTAATTTTTAAATGATATGTTAAAAGGAGGAGGCCTGTTTGGATAAGAGAATGTGGTGATATTTATATTTTTTTTTCCATGGCTCACAGCTAAAACTGTGATAGAATGTGAAGTGACTGCTGTCCTTTATGGTGTGTATAGAGGATTATCAGCAGTAATACTGATAAGATTTAGACATTCACACAATAAACAATGTATTGACATTTATCTCCAGATTATTTTGTGAACTACTGCTGAAATATTTGTCTTGGCTAGCCTAACTGTCCAAGTGGCATGCAGTTAAATGGGTCATGGAACTGATTTAGATGAAAAAACTGTTCCAATAAAAATTTTCAGTTGGAGATAGTTGTTCCCTTGTCAGATTCCTGGTTGCCACAGGAGCTCTCGCACCAAATGTAAGAGGATAGAAGATTATTTTAGGAGAGGAACTGTCTTTTGAATAGATTTTGTGTACTCTTTGTGAGACTACTGCCTACCTTTGTGTGGCTACAGGCTTTTACAAAAGGAAACTGTTGTGTTTTCATCTTGCTTTGACCTTTACTGACACTTCTTTGCATTGAATCTAGCAGTTGTCAGCATTTGGGTGGGTCAGGATTCCACAGAAGGTTAACCAACTTAAAAAGGAGCACCATCTTTCCATGGCATTGAGACTTCTGCAGAATTTCCCTGGTTCTGCACAGTTGTGCCAATGCAAGAGATGGATGTGGGATCATGTAGGGTGAGGAGAGATGTGATGGTACCTCAGACAACTTCCAATTCTTACACTGGCTTAAATGTCTTATGAAATAGCATCCTGTCAGTGACGGGTATTACTTTTCAGAAATAAAGAAACTTAGAAGTACAAATCAATGCTGCATCAGTTTTGCAGTTGGAAGATTTCAGTATGTAGTGGTTATCTTGGGACTTATTTAAGATAAGTGTTTATTCCAAAGAGTGAGAAGTTTCAGTCTTGTCTGTCTGTCTAGATTGACACAATGTAAGGGTATATACACATCAGTAACCCTAGCCCATTGGTTTCAATCAGACAGCTTAGATGCAGAAAGATGAGCAGTTTTACATGGCCAGGTAGTTTCCTATTAGAAATGTGAACTTTATTTGTGCTTTTAGCAACTTTTTTGCTACATTATCTAGACTCTAATTTGCATTTCTATTTGTTTAAAGCTACTATACTGTTGCTGTATGTTATTAATTCCTTTTTAGGGCTTTGTACTTTGTTACATATGGTAATGAATGTAGGAGTCTTTCCAGTAGCATGTTTACACATAATTATAAGGTTGTTAAACTAGTCAGTTATTAGATGCATTCAGATAGATAATAGTCCCCTAAATTAAAGAAAAATACTACAAAAAGACATTGAGGCACTGGAGTGTGTCCAAAGAAGGTCAGGGAAAATGGTGAAGGGTCTGGAACATAAGTCTTTTGAGGAGTGGCTGAGGGAGCTAGGGTTGTGTAGCTTGGAGAAGAAGAGGCTAAGGGGAGATCTTACTGCTCTGAAAAGAGGTTGTAGTGAGGTGGATCTCAGTCTCATTTCACAAGTAACAAGTGACACTACAAAAGGAAATGGCCTCAAGTTGCACCAGGGAAAATTTGGTTTGGATATTAGGAAAAATTTCTTTATGGGAGGGGTTCTAAAGCATTGGAACAGGCTGCCCAGGGAAGTGGTGGAGCCACCATTCCTGGAAAAGTTCAAAAAATATGTGGATATGGTTTAGTAGTGAACATGGTGGTAATGCTCGGTTAACTGTTGGACCTGGTGATCTTAGAGGTCTTTTCTAACTGTAATGATTCTATGATTTCATTCACCAGCATCCCCAAGTCCTTGGCAGGGCTGCTCTCAATTTCTTCATTCCCTACCCTGTATTGATACAAGAGATTGCCCAGACCCAGGTGCAGCACTTTGCACTTAGTCTTGTTGAACCTCATGAGTTTCCCATGGGCCACATCTTGGGCTTGTCCAGGTCGCTCTGGATGGCATTCCATCCTTCAGGAGTGTCAACTGTACTGCTCAGCCTGGTGTGATCTGCAAACTTGCTGAGGGTGCACTTGATTCTTTCATCTATATCATTGATGAAGACATTGAATAGCACTTGGTCCCAGTATGAACCTCTGAGTGACACCACTTGTCACCAATGTCCATTGGGACACTGAGCTGTTGACAGATACACTCTGGATGCATCCATCCAAGCAATTGCTTATCCACTTGTCCTAGTTTAGGGCAAATTTGGGGAAAACCTTCTGAAAGGAGCCCCCAGGAAATAAACCCCCACGGCCCCTCCCCACCCACCTGGTTCAGGAAAAAATTTCCTCTGAGAGAGAAGTGGAAAAGAACCTGTTTATTCAACAAGCAAAGCACTCCCCAGCACCAAAACAATTAACAACACCAGATGACAACAAAACTCTTTCACCCCTCTGAAGAGATGAACAAATCCGGAAAGTCTTTCCTGGGAGTGGTCACCCGGGTCTGGACGCTGGGGATTGCTCTCCAGCACTGGGGATGGCTGCTGCAGATCACAAAATGCAGGCTCCTGGTGTTCCTTGGTGTTTCCCAGATCCCAGTCCAGATCAGGTTGGATGGTATTCAGGAAGAGGAAAGGAAAAAGCAACAGTCCAGGGAAAGAATTGGACTGCTTAGCTAACCTAACTAGGAAGCAAGCAAAGCAAGAAAGCAGGCAAAGCAAGCAAGCCAAGCAAGCAAGCAAGCAAAGCAAAGCCAGCCAGCCAGCCCTAGCCTTTTCTAGACAGCAGACCATGGGGGGAGGTGAACCAGCTGATAACAAGGCAAAACAAACCTTCACTTTCAGAGTCAGTTCTGAAAGCACAGAACATAATATCAAACGTAAACAGAACACACGATTGGAGATACAGAACACACGATTGGAGATACAAACACCATAACGTCACCCTAGGACACCACTGAACAGCCCACTCATCAAATCTTCTCTCCAACTGAGAGAGAAGGATGTTGTGGGGGACCGTGTCAAAGACTTTACAGAAGTCTAAATAAAGGACATCTGTAGCCCTTCCCTTGTCCACTGATGGAGTCACTCTATTGTAGATGACCACTAGGTTGGTCAGACTTGCCCTTGGTGAAGCCATGCTGATTGTCCTGAATCACCTCCCTGTCCTCCATGTGCCTTAGCAGAGCTTCTAGGAGCATCTGTTCCAGGATCTTCTCAGGCACAGATGTAATGCTGACAGGGCAGTAATTCCCAGGGTCTTCCTTTCTACCCTTTTTAAAGATGGGTGCAATGTTTCCCTTTTTCCAGTCACCTGGGACTTCACATGACTGCCATGACTTTTCAAATATGATGGAGAATGGCTTGGTGGTCATGAATGTGATCTTCTCTTACAGTGGGAGGGACTTTGCTCTCCCAGTCTGTCTTGCAGTCTATCCACTCGAGAAATGTGGGAAGAGAGGTTGCCATTGAAGACTGAGTCAAAAAAGCTGTTGAGTACCTCAGCCTTTCCCTCATTATTATTGAGAGTTTGCTAGTCTTGCTTATCAGGAGTGGTACATAATTTTTGACCTTCCTTTTCTGGCTGACATACCTGTAGAAGTCCTTCCTGTTATTCTTTGCCTCCTTTGTCAAATTCAGCTCCTGCTGTACTTTGGTCTTCCACATATCATCCTGACACAACTGGTGTCCCTATATGCTTTCCAGGACACCTGTTCTTGATTCCACTGCCTGTGCATTTCCCTCTTGCCCTTTTATTTGACTCAACAATGCTGGTCTCTTGCCTTCTTTGTCTGACTTGTGCTGGGGGATGGCAAAGCTCTCTTTGCTCAATGGAAGACTTCCTTAAAGATCTGCCAGCTCTGTTCTGCTCCTTGGCCCTGAGGGCAGTTTCTCTGGGGGATCCTATTGACTAACTCCTTGAACAACTGTAAGCTTATTTTCCTAAAATTCTGGGTCTTGACTCAGCCTGACCTTTATTCCTCAGGACTGCAAACTCTGAGTGCATGATCACTGCAGTCCAGGATGCCTCCAATCTTGATGACCCTCATTAGCTCACTTCCGTTGGTGACCATCAGGTCCAGTATTGCATCCCCTCTGGTAGTGCTGTCTATTACCTGGCTTAAGAAGTTATCCTCCATGCATTTCAGGAGTCTCCTGGATTTCCTAGAGCTCGCTGTGCTACTTTCCCAGCAGATGTTGGGGTGGTTGAAACCCCCCAGCAGGACAAGAATCTGCAATTGCGATGTCTCCTGTAGCTGGAGCAAGAAGGCTTTGTCAATAGGCTTCTCCTGATTGAGCAGCCTGTAGTAAATACCAACCACAGGGTTCCCTTTTTCAGCTCTGTCTCTATTTCTCACTTATAAGCTTTTAACTTTCTCATGGCTCTTCTTCAGAGGCAGCTCTTCACAAGCTATCCATTTCTTGACAAAGGGGGCAACCCTTCCACCCCTCTTTTTTTCTCTTTCCTTTCTGAACAGTTTGTAGCCATTGATAACCACACTCCAGTCATAGCATTTGTCCCACCAAGCTTCAGTAATGGCAATAAGGTTGTAGCTTTGTAGCAGCATGGAGACTTCCAACTCCTGTTTGTTGCCCATGCTGTGTGCATTGGTGTAAAGATATCTCAGCTGGGCTGTCAGCATATCACCTTTTTTATAGGAACACCCCTCCTCTGCGGTGTTTCCCTAGTAACTTCTATTATCTCAGGAGCCCCTGGCTCATCTCTGTAAGTCTTCAAGTATGCTTCAGTGTGGCTAACACATCTCAGAGTCACTGGCTGAAGGCCCTCGCTACCACTCTATCCCTCTAATCTTGATGTGTTCTCCCACAGCTTGTCAAGGACAAGCCTGATATTATCCCCTTCCCCTGTCATGTCTGGTTTAAAGCTCTATATCAATGAGCACTACTAGCTCCTGAGCAAAGACCCTCTTCCCCTTTTGAGAAAGGGGAATCCAATCTGATTCCATCATGCCTGGTGTCATGTAGGCCATCCCATTATACAAACATGTGAAATTGTGGCAGTGACACCAGCCACAGAGCCATGTATTAGACTGGGCTCATCTGTTTCTTCCAATGTCTCTGCCCACAACTGGGAGGATAGAGGAGAAAATAACCTGTGCTCCATATTCCCTTACCAGCTATCCCAAGGCCCTGAAGTCTCTTTTGGTCGCCCTTGGATTACGTATTGTGATTTCATCACCACCCATGTGAAAGACCAATTATGGGTAGTAGTCTGAGGGCTGTACTAGGCTAGAGAATTTTCCCAGTCATGTCTTTAACCCAGGCCCCAGGGAGGCAGCACACTTCCATAAGAGGAGGATCCATCCAGCATATTGTACCCTCTGTTCACCTTAGAAGGCAACTGCCTACAGCTGCAACCTGTCTTTTCCTCGTGGAGGTGGTTGTTATACAGAGGGTAGGCCTTTCTGATTCTGGCAATACCTCTGGCGTAGATGAACCTCCATCCTCATCATCCTTTGACTGGCCTTCTACATCTTTGTACCTATGGTACAGAGGCACCTAGGAGGATGAGGTGGGCAAGGAGGGGATTCACCTGCTGCCCCGAGTGAAGACTTGCCTCCATTCACCCCTTTTCTTTGAGCTACTGCCTTCTATCTGCCTGAAGGGAAAATTATAGGACCTCCTTGTTATTGATTTTTTTTTTCTGGTGGCTCTTCCTGTCTTAGGGAGGGGCAAGCTATGGTTCCATGTTTTTAAACTTGTGAATATATTGTAGTTTGTGGAGATCTGTGGTGTTTTTTTTTCCTTCGTATTTTACAGGAATGCAGTCTGATATAGTCATTATAAAAATCTAGTGTGCATTGAATTGCTTTTTGGTAACAAAAATAATTTCGAAGAGGAAAAGTAGTTTAATAGCATGAGATTAATTCCTATATTATGTCTGAAAAAAAACATTCAGGGTCATCTTCAGGCTTGAAGTATCTGTAAACATAAATTTAATTTATTTAATGCATATATTGATATATAATGAATATGTAAATTTTTTAAAAATCTACTTAAGTAGAATAGAAGAAAAATCTTTAACTCTGCTAATTATTTTTATTATTCCAGATATATAGCTAAGGAGAAATTTGATGGGTTTTCTTTTTTTAATTTTTAGGATTCCTATTCTTATGTTCGATCTACTGCCTCGGCTGTAGCTTATGACAACAAACAATATTATCAACAACCAACAGCAACTGCTGCGGCTGTGGCTGCTGCTGCACAGCCTCAACCTTCAGTGGCTGAGTCATACTACCAGACAGGTAGGTGGCATGATTCAAACTCCTGTTGTTATATACAGTCTGTATACTATTTTAATAGCTTAAAATTTCTTTGAATATTTCATAGTATCAGATTTATTTATTGTTTTGACATGTAATCCCTGTCAATGTGTAGAAAAAACTTGATGCACCTAGAACGTTGTCATGGTTTGACACTGGCACAATGCCAGTGCCCCCATGAAAATGCAATCTCCCAACCAAATGCTGTGAAATGCGATCGAGAACAGAGCAAAGTAGGCCCAAGCCTAATAACAAAGAAAAAACTTTATTAAGCTACTACTACTATGCTACTATAAAAGAAAAAAGAAAGAAACACACACAAAATTCAAAATTAAAACCTTCCAAAGCATTCCTCTTCCCACCACCCAACTCCAACAAACCACAGTGAGATACAGTCTGGACCCCAATCAGGTTTCCACCCTCCAGATAATCAACACCCAGTCCATCGAGGGAGAGAGGAGCCTCTCCTGTGCCACAGACCCCCCAAGAAACACAGCTGCCACATCCTGTGCTTCCATGTCACCACATGGCACCGCCCGGAGAAAAAAGTTTGCCAATGGTGACCCTCTCCTTTCCATGCACAGTGCTCTCACCACCAATGCATGGATGGACAGACTGTTTTTAGGATTTTTCCTTTCAAGGATGCCCTGCCAAGAGGAGAAAAATACAACAGTTCAGTTTTTCATTTTTGGGACCACAGTCCCCCCCCCATTTTCCCCTGGAGCCGAGGGTCCAAGAACAAAGATCTTCTTCTCTTCTTCTTCTCTGAAGACAGGGGGCACCACCACAAACCTCCTTAACTTTTCTCTGTTCGCTCCACTTCTGTCTTTTCCCAGCTGAAGCATGGTCTCTTTGGTTCACCAGCATCCTCCCAAAATACAGTCTCTCTTGGAGGAGAAGATCGGTTCAGTCTGTGGCTACCAAGAAAAAGTCCAGCCAAAAGCCACTCCATCATCTCCTCCCACCTAGAATTTCTCCTTCTAACATCCCAGGGTCCAAGCTGTCTCTCTTCCTCTCTTTCAAACCAAGGAGGAGAAAGATTTCACAAAGTCTTCATTTCTCAGGAAGGGTTAAAAGTCCCGACTCCCAAGGATGGCTCACTGCCCAGGCTCCAGCTCCCACAGGCAGTTGGGCACCTTGTGGCCCCCCCGCTCTTCTCCTTCCCCGCGGTGAACTGCTGACAAGCTGCTTCTGTCTCTCTCTCTTTCGAGATAGAGACTCTGGGGGAGTGGGAATGGAGACATCCCAAATTTCTCCACCCTTCCCTCTGCAGGGGGCCACGCCAGGTTCCAGTCCCTCCACCCTTAGGCCTACCTCCGAAGGCCACATGGCTTTTCCCCTCCCCCACCCAGCCACAGGCCGGGCAGGGGAAAGGCTGCACTGCACGCTGACCAGAACCAAAGAGAGCGAGTTCTCCTGGGAATTCTGCTTTTAACCCCTCTGTGTTCTCAGAGGCGTGTCCACCTTCAATTGGTCAATATCCAAATTCACCTCTTCCTTCTGAGAAAATTCTTTTTCCGTGTCAAACCACGACAGTAACTATCTTTGAGGTTTGAATTGTTATTAATACACTCAAAACATACTTCTAGGCAAAAACTTTTGCTGAAGTAGGTTTAAAAAGTCAGTGTTGTTTTCAGATGCTAATTTGGTTAGAAAGGCTTTTTAAAAAAATTCTTTAGTTAATGTATATAGTTCTTTAATTATTGGTATCATAAATGCTACAAAACATAAATCCTTTTTACTTTTTTTACTATAATTAGACATAATAGCAAAGTTTAGATGTACTTTGGTTTAGTGTGTACTCTAGTAAAGCCATTGAAGGAGAAGGTTGTTTAAAAACATGGCAGCACAGCTAAAAATACGTAAATAAATCTGAGGCTTGCTAGTGTGAGCTTCGATGTGATTAAACCATTGTGGGATATATGGTAACGGAAGCATAACCATTACTGCAAAAAAACCAAACAAAACCCAATCAAAAAAAGGCAAAAACCAACCGAACTAAAACAAAACCCACTTGTTAATGTGTTTATTTCCTTGCATATCATTAAGTATCACCTAATATGGTTTTCATTTCATTCTAATTAAAGCATATAAATGTTTGTACACTTCTATTTTCTATCCTAATTAGCTCCAAAAGCAGGATATAGCCAAGGAGCAACTCAGTATACCCAAGCCCAGCAAACACGACAAGTGACAGCTATAAAACCTGCAACCCCAAGTTCAGCAACAACTACATTTTCTATATATCCAGTATCCTCTACTGTGCAGCCGGTAGCAGCTGCAGCTACTGTTGTTCCATCCTATACTCAAAGTGCAACATACAGTACAACAGCGGTTACTTACTCTGGTAAGAATTTTGCATATTATATTGCTGGGATCTTTGCATTTGTCACAGGAGAGGATTTAAATACTCAGCATTTTAGCAGTTTATGTTCAACTACTTCATAGTCCACTGAGAAATATCAACCAGTTAAATCATAATAATGGCAAAATAGTTTTATGTATCTTTAAAAGAGGTTTGATGCTTGTATGTGCCTATTTTATTACATGTGAGAATATACAAAGTGTTGGCATTACTACGTGCACAAGTGTTTTGTGATTTACTGTAAAGTTTGGAGAGAAAAGATGAGGGATAGAAACAATAAGGAAACACAAATATAATCCAGGGAAATTTGGAGCATGTTGCCATCAAGCAGCAATTACAGAGACAAGGAGGAGCAGTCAAATATAAAACTTTTAAGTTTGGGTTGTCTCGACCCAAGATGGAAGGAGAATGAGTGCTACAAAGAAAGACTTTCCTTCAAACACTAGAAATCCAAAAAGTAGTTAAAGGTGAGAAGATGTTAATTTTATAGCCAGACGGTAATCAACTGGCATATTATAGCTACCGTGAACTATTTATTTTGGTTTATTTTCTGTTTAAAAAGGGATTGTAAACTTCATTGAAACAGAGCTTGATTAGAGGATTAAAATAGTTGAACGAGTAGATATATAAAGTTTATGGGAAAACTGGCTCAAAAGTTATGAAAGCTCAATTTCCTTGATTTACTAAAGTTTGATACTAGAAATCAAGGAGTGTCTAGACAGGGTCTGCTGCAACCCATTTGAAATGGAATGGCTAATGCTATTGCATTCTGTCTTTTATCTTCTTTTTTTTTTTTCCTTAGTCTACATAATATCTGTCCTTTTCTGTTTGGAACTTGAACAGTAAATCTGGCTCTGGAAGACTGTTTATTTCAAGTGACCTTTGATAAATCTTTTATTAAAATTCTTGTTGCATCATACTCAGTCATACCAGATGTACCAGGAAATTTCACATATTCTTTAGGGATGCTTTGATATATTTAACAGAACAGCGCGTCTGCAAAGTTGTATCTAAAATCAAATATACTCCTGATACAAATGGTCTGCTATGTATTTGTGTACTGTGAAACAGCAAGAGAAATTCAGAATGCCCGACAAGATCTCAGTACGTCTTTTATAGCCTACTCTATTATGCAATATGCTTGGAATTAGTGTATTATGTAATTGATATATGATGTGCAGTGATGTAAAATTTATGTTATTTTAATCTTTGAGGTACCTCTTATTCTGGCTATGAAGCTGCAGTATATTCAGCTGCATCATCCTATTACCAGCAGCAGCAGCAGCAGAAACAGGCAGTGGCAGCAGCTGCTGCTGCTGCAACAGCTGCTTGGACAGGGACCACCTTTACTAAAAAGGTACCATTCCAAAATAAGCAAATGAAACCAAAGCAACCTCTCAAACCACCTCAGATCCACTACTGTGATGTTTGCAAGATCAGCTGTGCCGGACCACAGGTACCTGTATTATGTAATATCCTGCTATATGCTTTAGTCATAATTTTTTCGGCTAAATAATGGCCCCTTTAAGAATATTTGTTAATTTTTAAAAAACCTGATTCTATACTTATGCTAAAGGAATAATTAAATGAAAATGTATGCTATGACAGAAAGAGGCCATATGAGAAGACAAAAAGATACATCCCCTTAGCTTGGACAGAGAAGCTTCAGCTCTTCTTTGTACTCCAGAAGTATTCTAAACTTTGAATTTTATTTTCTTTTTAACATAGCAAACTTCTTAGAAAATACTTTTTTCAAAACTTTGTGAATATTTGTCAGGGTTTGACACTGGCTAGAAGCCAGGCACCCATGAAAACCATTCACTCATTCTCCTCTGCTATAGTTGAGCAGAGGAGGGGGAAAGAAAAACTAAAAGGCTCATGGGGTGAGATAAGAATTAGAAGAAAACATTCTAAGGGCAAAACAGGCTCAAAACTTAAAAGGTATAAAAAAAAATTTATTAACAGAAATAAAAGAGGATAATGAGAACTAAAATAAACGTTTAGAACACATTTCACCCCCCCTCTTCTTTCCTCCCCACTGACAGCGCAGGGAGACAAAACATGGGGTTTTTAGTCAGTTTGTCACTTCGAAAAATCTCTTCAGTTTGCTTAGGGAGAGAAGTCTCTTCTGCTGTGCTGTGGGGTCCTTCCCACAGGAGACAGTTCTCTGGGAACTTCTCCAATATGGTTCTAATTTTCACGAGTAGCAGTCCCACCCAACCTGCTGCAACGTGAGTCCTTCCCATGGGCAAACAGTCTTCCCACAACTGTTTGCATGGGTTGTTTAGTTCATGGGGTATAGTCTTATAAGGATGAGCTGTTCTACTTTGGAAGCAAGGGTCCTCTTCCTCTATTCCTGGAAGCAAGGGTCTTCTCTCTGTTCAAGTTTGTCACTAAATTACAGCTTTTCAGCATCCACATGCTCCAGGGTGAGTATCTTTTCTCATGGGCTGCAAATAGACTTCTACATCCCCCCCATGCACTTCATGAATTACAGGGAAAAAACCCAGTTTGTTGTATTATAGTCCTCACCATGGCTTGCAGAAGAATCTCAGCTCCAATGCCCAGAGCACCTCCTCCTCCTCCTCCCTCATTTTTCACCAGCCTTAGTGTTGCCATGTTGTTCTTCTCATTGAAATGAACAGGGCTTATGCCTTTATTAATGTTCAGCTCTTTATTGAAATGATCAGCTGGGCAGGGGACTCGATTCCGAGCTCACCCCTGCTGTTGTAGCTTTTTTCAGGTAGCCGAAGTGCAGCGTCTGTCTCTGAAGTCTTCATGGCACACTGGTAGCCGAAGGGTGAAGAGGTGTGCAGTCTCTTGCTGAAGTCCGGATCAGCAGACTGTCCTCTCCCCTTTCCTCTTGGTAACACCAGGAAGAGCTGCCTCTTTGTTTCTGCTTCCCACAGCCCAGTCCAGTCTAGTCTTCTGTAGGCTATGGTGACAGGTCAAACGTCGATCAGGGATGTGTTTTCCTCTTCCTCAGTCAGTGCACCTCTCCAGCTTCCTCTACTTTGTTTAGTTTTCCATTTAGGGGTGTCCTTATCCCCGAAAACATGCTCCCATGGTTCCATGGGTTTCCCTATTTACATCTCCGGTCTTAGAATGGCAGCATGGGTGGGGAGAGTATGTGGTCGCCAGGCAGTTTAGAGAAAACAAACAGAGCAATTAGCTAATTAACATTTCAATATAAGTACTTAGCTAGTGTCCCAGTATTGCCATGGGAACCAGGAAGGCTCTTTTGTTCATTGCACTCGTGTCTTCACCTTTTCCTTTTCTCTGGCTCGTGAGAAAATTGGTGTCTGTAAGTTCATTTGTTCTCATGTTCTATCAGTTGAAAAGTTTTTATAGAGTTCCACAGCGTTCAAAAGTTACGCCTTTCCAGGCTCCGCATCGAAGAATTGCTTGCCATGCCTCTCACTGTTGGTCACATGGTCCCCGCTGGCACTGCATGATCCGCTCCAGCCACTGGTTCCAGTCAGCGCCTCTCCTCATGCGGGGCACCAAAAAGGAAAAACCGCTGCCGCCGCTTCTGCCCTCCTGTTCCCAGCATGGCTGGCTAAAAGTGGCTAAGCAAGTAAAGTTCATTGCGAACCATGCTGAGATAGCAGCTGCCGCGTGGCGCTGTCCCAGCTGCACCAATCCCGGCCATGCAGCTGCTCCTGGTGCCGGGGTGCCGCCGCCACCCTCAGCCGCATGAGCGCTCGAGGCGCTGGCCATATGGTCACGGCGCCGGGAAAGTCCCCCAGTGGCCCCCAGAAAGGGGCCCGGAGGCCCCCTCACCACCCCTCTGAGGGGAGGAAGAAAGAGAGCTTGCACATGGGTTTTTTTGTTCATAAATATTGAAATGAACAGGGTCTATGCCTTTATTAATAGTCAGCTCTTTATTAAAAGACAGCTCCCCAGGGGTCCCAGTGGCACGCTGGTAGCTGGAGGTGAAGAGGTGTGCAGTCCATATCTGAAGTCCCAGCAGACCATTCTCTTTTCTTTCCCTCCTGGTAGCACCAGGAAATGTGTCCTTTGGCTCCTGCTTCCTACAGCCCAGTCCAGTCTGGTCCTCTGCAGGTTATGGTGACAGGTTAAACACAGACTAGGGATGGGGTTCCCTTTTCCCCAATGAGCACACCCATCCAGCCCCCTTCACTGTGCCCATCTTTTCCATTTAGGGGTGGTTTTCATCCCCAAAACCCCCTCCCATGATTCCACTGGATTATTTTGCATCCAGGTCCTAGTGTAGGCGGGGTTGTAGGTGATTCCCAGGAGCAATTAGCTAATTAACATTTCAATGCCAGTACTTAGCCCAAGCCAAAGTGTTCCAGCAAGGCTGTTTTGTTCATAACAAATATGTTATCACAGAGGCATTACTAACTTCTCTAATTGGGCCAGCCAATATGTCCATTGTCAGAGTCTTCAGGGATTTGCTCTGCTGGACATTGAAGTTTTGAGGAGCTTCTCTCTCAGAAGCAGCCTCTGTGGGTTCCTCTGCCCCTACTAAAAGCCATATTATGTTAAACGAACACAATGGTAATCCTGAAAATGTATTAATTTTATTCCAGCATCCCTGTTTAGTTTCAAAGGGGATACAAGTGCATCAAAAGTAGATATCAATTAATGAAATGTTTGTGTGTGTGTTTGGCAAAACGGTTCTTACTCTTTAGGTAAATTTGTCATTATTTTCCACCCTGTCTGCTCCATAGATTGCCAGTGTTAGTATAGGAACAAATAGCAACTTCTGTATTTATTTATGCGCTACCTTTTTTTGAATTTACTTTTTTAGTTATCTGGATACATTTAATAACCGTGGTCTTGCAGTGTGAGGAAAATTCAAAATCAAGAATAATTCAATGCAATGTAGGAAAATGCACCTGAGACAGTTTTCTGATCTTATCAGGCTTTCAGTATGTTGACCAGTACTTGACTAAGGAAGTGAGAAGGTAGAGGAGTAAAGACCATATTGTATTACCTAAGAGTGGAATCCTGGTGGTGAAGAAAATATCTTGGTTTTGGAAGTAGCCTGCTTATGCCTTAAAACATGTCATAGGGAAACCATGTTCAGTGTAGGAAGTATTTTTAATACAAAGCATGTGTTTTATGCTATGCTCTATTTTACATGTATACACATGAGTGATGAACAAACAGTACAAAACCAGCTGTGTGTATTTTTTATTTAAATAGACTTATAAAGAACACTTAGAAGGCCAGAAACACAAAAAGAAAGAAGCAGCATTAAAAGCTTCCCAGAACACCAATAACAACAGTACTTCTGCTCGTGGAACTCAGAATCAGTTGCGCTGTGAGCTTTGTGATGTGTCTTGTACAGGAGCAGATGCTTATGCTGCCCATATCCGTGGAGCCAAACATCAGAAAGTAAGAACTTTCTCTTGTCTATATTATACAAGTCATTCATATATTTCTTTCCATAATTTTTCTCATCTTAGGAGAAAAGATGCAGAAAGACTATAATTAGAATTTTGTTTAAAGATAGTTCTGCTTTTTGTTTCAAAATTATCTTTAAGCTCAGTATTAGACGGGCCTTGTTGAGAGAAAGGGGGAAAACATATTGCCACAGCAGCATCAAGGAGAAGAGGATGTGTTGGGAAAGGTATGCAAATTGTAGGAAGAAAGTATAGAGTAAAATGGGGAAAAGTGCCAATGAGGACATGCAGTAGCATGCTTGTGCCCCCTAACACTTTTCAAGACTTCTCTTGACATTCTTATTTGACACTGTGAAGCACTCTGTGCTTTGAAACACTGTAAACTGAATCAGTGACAAGGAATGGGATTATTATGTGTCACTTTTTGGTATTTCTTGCAAAAAAAAAAAAAAAAGGCATATGGAAACAAGGAACAATGTCCTGTAGTAGATTTATGAGTATGTTTAAAGAGTTTTGGTAAGCATGCTTTCCCTATTGTCTGTGTGTAGTTAGGGCACTGTGAACCCCTGTGACCAGTGTTCTAAATTTGGTCATATGACAATAAATGTAATGGCAGCAGTGTAGAATGCATGTTTAGATATTACAGTATTGGTGTACACAAAACAGAGAGTACTTTGGACCTTATTAGCATAAGAGATCTGATAAATAAAATGCCCTGGCAAGAGCAAACAGAACTTTGAAAATTAAATCAAGATTGCAAGAAGATTAAATCAGACGGATTTACCAGAAAAAAAAAATGACATCAAACTCTGCAAGCACGAGATGTTGTAAAATGCATGTTTGTTTATGTGATTTTTAACCCAATCGTAGTAAAACATTACTAGCCTTCCTAAAATACTATATAAGCATGTGTATCCCACAATAAAATTGGATTCTTTGATCATCTCAAAGTCTTCCCTGTCTCTCTTCATCACCGATATTACAGATTTTCCTCAAAGCTATGGAATTATTAATGTAAGCAACAAAGTAATAATATTCAGCTTTTATAAACCTTTGTATCTCAGAACACTGTACAAAGTGGCATCAGTAATATCATTCCTATTCAAGTAAATAAATCTCATAGCAAATTTAAAATAATTTTCCAATTATTATTTTGTTAGCAGAAGAACAAAAATTATAATTTACATAGATTTGCCTAGTGTTTGTTCTTTCATTAATAAAGTTGAGTCATTAAATTTTTGGGTTGTGCCCAATAACTCCATAAGTATATGGAGTACGATAATATATCATCTTTGTATATTTGGATGTTCTTTTCTCTTCCTCATAGATAGTTGCTAACTAATGCTAAGTTAGGTTGTCATCAGTGTAAAAATGAAATCATAAAGGACTCTTTCTTTGGTACACTGAATAATCTTGTGCATTCTAGTGGGAAAAATAGTAATCTGGAAGAGTTGCTTGAACTTAAATTTGTAATATTACGTGACATTAATATGTCTGTATTCTGATGAGGAACATGCTTAAAATAAGAATAAAAAGCTAAGAGGTGTATGTATACACTTATGTGCATATCATAGAATTATTTAGGGTGTAGGAGCCCTCTAAGATCATCGACTCCAACCGGTAAACTAACATTGCTGAGTCCAGCACTAAACCATGTCCCTAAGCACCACATCTACATGCCTTTCATGACTTTTAAATCCCTCCAGGGATGGTGACTCAGCCACTTCCCTGGGTAGCCTCTTCCAATGCTTGACAACCCTTTCAGTGAATAAATTTTTTCTAATATCCAATCTAAACCTGCCCCAGCACAACTTAAGGCCATTTCTTCCTGTCCTAGCTCTTGCTACATGGGAGAAGAGACCAACCCTCACCTGGCTACAGCCTCCTTTCAGGTAGTTGTAGAGAGTGATAAGGTCTCACCTGAGCCTCCTTTTCTTCAGGCTAAACAGCCCCAACTCCCTCAGCTGCTCCTCATAGGACTTGTGCTCTAGACCTTTTACCAGCTTTGTTGCCCTTATTTGGATGCACTCTACCACCTCAACATCTGTGGTTTTGAGGGGCCCAAAACTGAACACAGGATTCAAGGTGTGGCCTCACCAGTGCCAAGTACAAAGGGACAGTCACATCCCTCGTCCTGCTGACTCCACTATTTCTGTTACAGGCCAGGATGTCATTTGCCTTCTTGACCACCTGGGCACATGCTGGCTAATGTTCAGCTGGCTGTTGGCCAACACTCCTTGGTCCTATTCTACCGTGCATCTTTCCACCTGCTCTTCCCCAAGCCTGTAGCGCTGCAGGGGGTTGTTGTGACCCAAGTGCACGACCTGGTACTTCACCTTGTTGAACCTGATTGTGTACATGTATTTGCATTAAAGACATATCTAGCAGATTTGTATTTTTTTTACTGCTACTTTCAAACACAGTCTCCAGTTTTCATTCTGCATGTTTTGTTCTTATGAACTACATGTATTGCTTTTTCAAGTTATGGTTAGCTGTCACCAAAAAGAAGTATTATTCTATCTCAAGTGTGTTGTAAAAAGGCCTCTGCTTATTACTTCTAAGAATAAGCACATACCTCTTAACTTTCAAGGAGATAAAGAGCTCTGAAATATGCCTTTTGCATCCTCCTTAACTCTTTCTGCAGATGTGCTTTAACAAAAAGAAAAGAAAGCCTTTGTCTAAGGAATATCTTCCGTTTTGCTAGGTAACCTGGAAAGTCAGTATAAATATTCTTAAAATGTACCGATGAAAAGAGACAGTGTTGAATCTGAATTAAATAACTTATTTACAAATTTTATTTGGAACTAAAATAGTTCAACGTACTACGGTTTTTGGAGGGACAATAAAAAGCAACTAGGCAGCAAAACAGTCACGTTGGAAACATTTTGCTCAAACTGGTTTTTGAGTTTTACTGGCTTGTGAGGTTATTGACTTTCTGTTCTCATCTACACAGCTTTTGGAGTAAATGTCTGAATTTCTAGGGGAAATAAGCAACCTGAGATAACTATTAACTATTTCCTCTTTACAGATGATAAGAACTTTTGCATGTCCCTTTTTTTTTTCCTCCTGAGATTTCTTTTAGGAAAGAGGCAATAACTTTAAAATAAAATAAAAATATCAATATCACTGGTGATATTAATGTTTCTGTTAAAGCTTCAATAATCTATAACAAGTTCCATTTTTATAGCTACCCCAAGGAGATAATATTAATAATTTCTTGTTATTTTTATAGGTAGTAAAGTTGCACACAAAACTTGGCAAACCTATTCCTTCAACTGAACCAAATGTGGTTACCCAAGCTGCAACTTCAACATCCACATCTGCTTCTAAACCAACTGCTTCTGCTTCAAATATAGCAACTAGCAGCAGTACTGTGAACTCCTCTGTTGCATCCTCTACAGTGAAAATTCTTACTCCCACGGCAAATCCACTACTTAACATTGTGTCCAACAACAAAACATCTTCAACCGCTGCTAATATAGCTGTAAAGAAAATATCTCCACCAAAAATAAACTTTGTTGGCAAGTACAGAAGTCAGTCTTTATTTTAAACCTAACTTACTCTATATTTTTAAAAATATTTTAGTGCAACAAGTACAAATATATTTAATTAACTTCTGCATGAGTAATTCTGTTGTGTTTATGGGAATTATTACTAATGGAGAAAATAAGAATGTATATAAAAATTTTGCTTCACAGTTTATACTGTTTTCTGCCCTTTTGTCTTCACCTGACCTCTCCTGGAGGCTTCTCCCACCTTCAGAAAAAGCCTCCCACCTTTGGTGTCTTATGTAGTAGCTGCTGGAGTATTGCAGATTATAGTCCAGCTGCTTCTAATTTCAGTTCACAGCCTGACCTATTAAGACAGCCTGCAGTAGGTTGGCAGTTGGTAACTGGGAAACTGAAACATTGTTGTAACACTGGAAATTCAAGAGTGGAAACTTTTGAAATAAGCATGACAGACATTTAGAGACAGAAAGCAGTTGTTCAACAGTAAGCTAAGGTGCTCTCAAAGGAAAGACCTATGCAGTTGCAACACTGAAAGTATGCTGGCTTTGTTAATACTTCAAAACCTTTTAATGTTTCTACTTTCTTGGATCCATTAACAAAAAGAAAACAAATCTGATGACAAAAAATTTTAAAATATATTTGGTGAGTTGTTCCCATTCACTCCTATCTCTTGAAAAAGCATGAAAATGAATGATGACAATTGCAACTATATAAAGCAAAAGATTTCTTACTAAAATAAAAAAATAGGTGTTTAAATAAGTTTTTGTTTAACTTAAAAAAAAAAAAACTTTATTAGTATTTAAAAGTGTTTGGTTTAACTAATTTTCAGACTGACAATGCTTTGACCAGAACATTGATACTTGCAAATAAACTCTTCAGTTTGCACATCATGTATAATTCTCATTTTATGAAAGTTAGAGATTTAACTTTTTTGATTTGTAGGTGGTAATAAACTTCAGACAACAGGAAGTAAACTGGAAGAAATTAAATCAGCTGAAAGTGTTAAAGCAACAACTGCTGCTACAATACAAATACAGGAAGTAAAACCAGACACAGCAGCTGAACCAGTGACACCTTCGACTCTTGCTGCCTTGCAAAGTGATGTCCAGCCAGTGGGCCATGACTATGTGGAGGAGGTATTGATATGAAAACATGGATTATTTTTTAACTATTATATGGAGAGAGGTTCTAGTCCCTTCATCATCTTTGTGGCCTTTCATTGGACTCTCTCTAGTATGTCCATCTATCTCTTGCACTGGGGAGGCCAGAACTGGACACAAGACTCCAGCTGTGACCTCACCAGTGTTGAGTTAGAGAGGAAGGATCAGCTCTCTCAACCTGCTAGCAATACTTTGTTGAATGCGGCCTGGGATGCCATTTGCCGCCTTTGCAGCAAGGGCACATTGTTGACTCAAGTTTAACTTAGTGTTCACCAGGACCCCCAGGGCCTTTTCTGTCAAGCTGCTTTCCAGCTGGGTGGCCCCCAGCATATGTTGGCACATGAGGCTGTTCCTCCCCAGATGCAGGACTTTGTACTTCTCCCTGTTGAACTTCACAAGGTTCCTGTCAGCCCATTTCTCCAGCCTATTGAGATCTCTGTGGATGGCAGCTCAACCCTCTGGCATATCAGCCACTGCGTTCAGTTTTGTTTCGTCAGCAAACTTGTTGAGGGTGCACTCTGCCCAATCACCAGATCAATAATGAATATGTTAAACAAATTTGGACCCAACATTGAGCCCTGGGATAGACTGCTAGCTACTGGCCTTCAACCAAATTTCATTCTACTGATCACCACCCTCTGGGCCTTGCCATTCAGCCAGCTTTTGATCCACCTCACTATGTTTATCCAGCCCTTACATCAACAGCTAGTCTATGAGGATATTATGGTGAGACTGTGTCAAAGGCCTTACTGAAGTCCAGGTAGACAACATCAACTGCTCTCCCCTCATCTACAAGGCCAGTCACTTGATTGCAGAAGTTTATCAAGTTGATCAAGCATGACTTTCCCTTGGTGAAGCCATGCTGACTACTGATGATGATTTTCTTATCCTTAATGTGCCTGGAACTGGTATCCAGAATTAGGTGCTCCATCACCTTCCCAGGGATTGAGGTGGAGCTGACTGGCCTGTAATTCCCTGGGTCCTTCTTGAATATAAGAGTGACAAGGCACTGAACCTGCAAAGACTTGTGCATATGTTTACATTTTTGTTTTGTGCATGTTTCTTTTGACCTCAGTGGGGCATTCTTCATGTTGGTGGAATGAGATATGTGGATGAAATCTGATGTAAAGTTTTCATAGTTTGTAATTATTCAACTCATTATGTTTGGGCTCAAGTTTAAAGCTGTCAAAGATCTTTGTTCCTTACCAAATACAATGGTGTGTCTGTCACAATTGAAAGTTCTATTTTGCCTTTTTTCAGTTCCTGTGTGAAGTTTTAAGCATGTTTTGAGATGAGCAGACATTATCCAGTGTCACTGAATTAATTTTTAAATCAGCTTTTGTTTAAAAAAAAAAAAAAAAAAGTAAATGTGTTTTATAACTTTAATTTTCCAGGTAAGAAATGATGAAGGAAAGGTGATCCGCTTTCACTGTAAACTTTGTGAATGCAGTTTTAATGATCCTAATGCCAAAGAGATGCACTTAAAAGGGAGGCGGCACAGACTTCAGTATAAGGTTGGTAAAAATGCTAATACTTTTATCTGGAAGTCTACCAGATGTCAGCTGACTGCTTACATGTTCTTATATTTAAAGACTAATCAGAAGTAGGTGCTCTGAGTAAACAGCTTATAAAAAAAGCTAGAGAAATATATTTCTGAAGGAGTATAGCCTTTAAAATTGTAATGCAGACTGAAACTGCATTTTGGTTTGGGTGTTGCTTTAAACATTCTGAACATTGCTTTCAGGCATTTTTTCAACATTAAAATATTGTACAATGTGTGCAAGCAATAGTAGGTGCTTTGTTGTTTACTGTAAATTTCAAATAGTCAATGTTTTTGGCAGGATAAACCACATAAACCCCTTATGGAGACATTTGAGAAACAAGTATTTGCAGACATTTTAGTCATGAATGGAGAGACATCTATAGTGACACATAGTGTGCATTTTCGTTAATATAAGAAGAATTTACTGTGGTCACAGGAGATACAATGGGCCTGCATAATCATGAAAGGGATGAAAGAAGAGGAAAAAATTGCCAGAAAAATGTATTTAGTGGCTTATGATTATGCTCCAGTATGAGGGACCCTTCAGGAACAGGGCATCAGGAAGCACACTGTAGTTCAGATGAAATGGTTTGGTTTTTTTTTTTTTCAGGCTATATTGTAATCATCCTGCTAGAGAATGAACAGCAAATTACTTAGTATTTCATGTAGCATTTTAATTTTAGATTTTTTTGTTCTCACATAGGTGAAAAAGGAATTCATGCTATATGTAGTACATTGCTGTTTCTTTCCTTTAAAATACCGGACACAGATTTTTCTTCAGCTGTTCATTCAGTGCAGTTCTAAAACTGCATTTTACTCACCTTGATTTTATCATAGACCAGTAGTATGTGCTAAACATGTCAGAAGAACTCCATAACCTTGAGATGATAAGTGGCAAAACAACATTTCATTTGTTGTTTTTCTGAACTAACGAAACAGAGTGAAAATTTAACAAGGTATAAATCCATTTAGATTTAAGTGAAATGTACCACTTTGAATCATTAGTAGCTTACTAGCATAAGTAAAATATGCTGTTTAGTCTAGTAACTCTGCAACACTAGTAAAACTGCCCCAACTAAAGAAAAATAATGCGAATTTCCAAACTAAAGAGATAAGAGAAGCTCCTCAAACCTTTAAACAGACAGGGCAGGGTGACCCAAGAGTTCTTTCTGTACTTTCTAATAAAAAACTAGCTACAAGTATAACTAGCTTTAAGTGTAAGGCGAAATCAGTAAAATAAATATACATAAATCTATTGTAAAACACTATGCATATGTAAACTAGTAAAAAAGAATTTAAAAAATCAAGAGTTCTCAGAAGCACACATATCCTTTAAAGAGAAACAATCCCCACATGTATCCAGCACTGTAATAAACGTACTGTCCCTACAAATCTTTATAAGAATTGTAGAGTTTTAATTTTTCATCTGCATTTCACTAGAAAAAAGTAAACCCAGATTTACAAGTAGAAGTAAAGCCCAGTATTCGAGCAAGAAAAATTCAAGAAGAGAAGATGAGGAAACAGATGCAGAAAGAAGAATACTGGAGAAGGCGAGAAGAGGAAGAGCGCTGGAGGATGGAAATGAGGTAATGCATTCTGTTTTATCAGCAAATGAGACAAAGTTGCAGTCAGATTATGTAAAATTAACTCTTCTTCTGTAATTACTTATTTTGAATACTTGTTTTGGGAGCTCTATACTGTCTTGTTTTAAATTAAGTTGTCATTATTGTTGCCTTTATAAAAGACAACCAGAGACCTGGTTCAGGAACAGCACGGCAGCCTGCTCTCGGCCAGACTGCTCGGGCTAATCAACAGACGCAGACACCAATATGGCAGACGGTTGAAAAGCGTTTATTATCCTATCTCGTGGGTTTAAATAGCTTTTAGGGGTCTTTGCTACGTCAGAGGGGGGTTGGGGGGTCTCAGGGGTTAGTGGGTAGTGGAAATTTACTAGGGCCGGTGTGGCTGCATTCCTCTGAGGCTTCTGGAGTTAATAGATAAGTGGGGAAGAGAGAGAGAGAGAGAGGGGGATGGGTCTATCTTTCCGTCACACCCCGAAATCTTCCGTTCGCCTGTCCCTTACCTACCACATCTCCCCCCTCCTTATCACATATAAAATGAGGTAGTCGTAGGTAGAGGCACTGGAGTGAGGTACAAACTTGCAACTTGTTAAGGAAAGGGTGGTTTAGTAGATCTGGGTAGATTTCTCAAGGCAGGTGCTGAAGGCTTTAGCTACTGACTGTGTTTGCAGTTTTTGGTTTATAGCATTTGTTGGTGGCCTATGAACAGAATGTTTGCCCTTTCCAGACGGGCTTGAACAAACGAGACTAGTTTGTTCAGCAGGCATGGTCCTATGGTAATAGCCAAAAGCAGTATTGCCAGTGGACCCACCAGGGCAGAAATTAAAGTGGTGAGCCAAGGTGATTGATTGAACCAGGATTCAAACCAGCTCTGCTGGGTCTCCCTGTCTCTCTTTCTCTGAGCCAGTCTGTCTCGGAGTTCTGCCATGGAGTCTTTAACGACTCCTGTATGATCTGCATAAAAGCAGCATTCCTCCTTCAACGCTGCACACAATCCCCCCTGCTGCATAAACAAAAGGTCCAGTCCCCGCCTATTTTGTAAAACTACTTCTGAAAGCGAAGAGACTGATTTCTCTAGGTAGGAGATGGATTTCTCGATCCTCTGCAGGTCCTCGTCGATGGTCATTTGCAGCTGAGAGAGTCCGTGCTGCTGGGTTGCGATGGCTGAGACGCCCGTGGCGGTGCCAGCTGCTCCCAGGCCGAGCAGCATCGCGATAGTTATACCTGTGATGATTTCCCTTTTGTGGAGTCTGTTAGGTTCTTCGAGAAGATGGTATATCTCTTCGTCTGAGTGGTACAAGACCCTGGGGACAATCAGAACTTGGACACAGAAATCAGTAGAGTCATTGAATTTGTCAAGGAACACACAAGGACTCACTCCGGACCTTTGGCAAACCCACATCCCAGACGCAGATGGGATCACCCACTTGTTAGTTTTTCTGTTAGGTTTGACAACTTTAGTGCAGAAGTTGCCTTTCTGCTTTGCTAAGGTTGCATTCCCAAAACATCTGCCCTGTCCTGTGATTTGACTCAGGGTGATTCCTCTGCGGGGAGTGTCCCATCTGCACTGGTGGGGGGCGCTGGCTGAGGAGTAACTGAAGGGGGTGTCCAAAGCAATGCCTTCATAAAAAGGGGGTTTGATATCATAGCAAAGCCAACAGGAGTTAGTTAGGTTCAGTTTGGTTTCGTTTAGGGTTAAAAAGGTAGCTTCTAGCATACGAAAGATTGGGTTTGGGTCTGACTCAGCCATGCGGCCTATCTGGGGGGTATCTGCAAGGCTGGTCGGGGTGTCAGTGGCTTTTGGGGTCAGGGTTTTGAGGTGGGTTGTGTTTTTCCCTCTCAGCACATTCCTGATAATTTTGTTGGGTCCCACTGGTCGAGGCGTTGGCGGCTGGAGCCTGATAATTCTCACATTCACCCACCTCCTCGGTCCTTTGAGGACCACCGTCCATGTTCTACCCGTGGCCCAGCTAGGGTGATCTGGCTGTAGGACAGTCATGTTATAACTTACGCATGCCCGTTGTCTAGGCTCTGCAGTGTGGTCTCCGCAGCCAAAGGGTGCCCAGGTGAACTGTAAGAATTTGTCGGGCTCCTGTGGTTGCCACCCGTCTGCCCATGGTCTGGCATCTGTAACAATGGTTTCGCAGCCCCAATACCCACAATGTCCCCACCCCGGGTAGTCACAGTACCTTTTCCCTGGGTTGGACGCTGGGCACCAGTAAGATATGTACATGAGTATGATGTGTGGGCTTGAGGGCCGTATTTTCGGTTGCCCTGGAAACAGATCGGCTATGTGGAATACGAAGGATGGAGCGTTTGCGGTGGTGACCTCTTTGAACACCTTGTCACTTGAGAGATGTTGCATGACCCATCTGAACGGCTGGTGAGGGTAGTGGCCTGGGTCGGCTTGCCCCCCGGCCACAAACCCCATCAGCAGGATTGCACAGAGACACTGTACATGTCTGGGTCTCACCGCCGTGGGACGCTCAGGCTCTGTCTGGTGGCTTGGTGGTCCGTTATCTCTCTCTGGAGCAGGGGTGTGTGTGTCGCAGGGACGGTCCACGAGCGTGTCCTGCGAACGAAAACTTACAGTTTTCCATTAGTTTCATTCTTAAGGTCAGGTTTGATCGACCTGAGTGGACACCACCTGATCTTGTCCTCCTTTTTAACTGCCGCGTACCCCCGTCCCGTAAGCACCAGTCTCCAGCCCCGTTCCCACTCGCCTAGCTCGTTTTTGACCATGACCTGTGGGCCCTCCTCTAGTGTCTGGGTGGCCCAGTGTTTTCGAATGGGACTGTTTGCTTCATCTCCCCTAGGAAATTGGTTCAGTGCTAGCAGCGCGGTTGCTAGCATGCGTGTCTGGTCTCTTGAGGGGATGGAATTGGCAAAGCCCTCTGCCTTTGCCAATACTTCTAACTTGGCTTTTAGGGTCTGATTTGCTCGCTCGACAATGGCCTGTCCGGTGCTGTTATATGGGATTCCCTGCGCTAAGGTGATACCCCACACTGAGGCGAATTCCCGCACTGATTTGGAGATAAAATTGGAAGCATTGTCAGTTTTAATTTGCTTGGGGATACCAAGCCATGCCATAACTGTCAGCCAGTGCTGGATCGTGGCCTTCGAGTTGGGTTTGAGATGCTGTGTCGCTATGATCACTCCGCTGTAGGTGTCCACTGTCACTGCAAGCCATGCTCGGGGCTTTAGCAGTTCGCAGAGGGTGAAGTCTGACTGCCAGATTTCTGACGCCTTGAGGCCCCTCGGGTTGACTCCACCGGTCCATAGGGGTGACTTCTGGCAGTGAGGGCAGGTGGCCACTACGTGTCTCGCGTCTGCTGTCGAGATCCCGCATCTCTTCGCCAGTGCTTTGGCCCCTATGTGGAGTGACTCGTGCAGCTGACGAGCTTCCTGCAGTGTCCACACTCTCTTCGCTGCGGCATCTGCTTTGTCGTTGCCAGTCTGGAAGAAGCCCTTGACTGGGTTATGGCTGTTGACGTGGATGACGGACACGGTGCCCTGGCGTGAGGAGAGTGCCTCTTCAAGCATGGAGGCCGTCGTGGATGTTGACACACCTGGTCTTGACATGGCTAGGCAGAGCTTTGCCACGAATATAGAGTCTGTCACGATGTTGAGGTGTTCGTCCTGGAAAAGTCCGCACGCCAAGACCACTGCTGCTGCTTCCAGCTGTTGCACTGACAGCGTGGGGTCACACGTTTTGACGCAATGCCATGTTTCTCCTGCCTGCCACACTGCTGCTGCGGTAGAAGTCATGGAGGAGGCGTCTGTAAAGACCGTTGGTCCTGGTTGCGGTCGGTCCATGACCTTCGGTGGCACATCTATGTCGACAATGGTCAGTAGCTGGGTCCAGGGTGGTTTGGTGGCGTAGGAAATTTCTCCTCCGAAGCCAGTGAGAGCGAGGGCTAGGTGCTCCGATATTGCAGTTGACTCCGTGGTCGGTCGCTTGCGGAAGGGGAGGTGGATCCTTGCCGGCTCGGTCCCCAGGTGTCTCAGGGCGAGTCTCCTGCCTTTCGTGATGAGGTTAGCAATGCACTCGACTCCTGGGGAGAATGCGTGAGTCGGTCTTCCGAGGACCACCCACTGGATCGGCTGGGATTTTTCGGAAGGTCCTTGGGCAAGTGCTCCCACTCCTCCCTTCTGCGTGAAGTGGACGTATAAGTCCAGTGGTACGCTCGGGTTCCATCTGGCAAGCAGGCTAGTGGACATCTGACGTTCGATGAAGTCGAGGGATTTCGTTGCTTGCGGCGCCAGCTCCTTGGGGTCCCACGGGTGTTTTCCTTTCAGGAGGTCATACAGGGGGTCCATGACCTCTGGGGGAACTAGGATGATGTTGCGGAGCCACTGCAGAGACCCCACGAGTCGCTGCATGTCGTGGAGGGTCTTGATGTCTCGGCGGACTTTTATCTTGGGTGGGGTCACGTAGGAGTTTGTGATCCCCACTCCCAGGAAGGTCACGCACGGTCCTCTCTTGATCTTCGTGTTCGCGATCTCGAAACTGTTGGCCTGGAGGGTTTCCGTGATCGTGGACACTAGGTGATCCACTTGGCCTGCCGATGGTGCGGCGACGAGGATGTCGTCCATGTACTGAATGATGGTCGCAGCAGGGTGGGAGTGTAGGACTGGCATCAGTGCCCTGTCCACGGTGATCTGGCATATGGTCGGGCTGTCCACAAGGCCTTGAGGTAGCACTTTCCATTGGAAGCGGAGGTTAGGTCGCTCGCCGTTCGGGAACACGATGGAGAAGGCGAACCGTTCTTTGTCCTCAGCATGCAGGGGTATTGAAAAGAAACAGTCTTTGATGTCCAGCACTGCGCACGGCTGCCCTTTGGGGATGGCTGAGTTCGCGGGCAGTAGTGTCTGAACTGGACCCATGGGCTGAATTGTCTTGTTCACTTCCCTCAGGTCGTGGACGAGGCGGTAGCCTTCTCCTGATCTCTTGGGGATGACAAACACCGGGGTGTTCCACGGGCTGGTGGAGGGTTCGATGTGGCCCTTTTGTAGCTCGCGGTCGACCAGTTCCAGCAAGGCTGTCATTCGAGGCTTTGACAGGGGCCACTGCTCAACCCATACGGGGTCTGGTGATTTCCAAGTCAGTTTGATTGGTAGCAGTGGGTGCACAGCAGTGGCCCTCATCATAAATTTGTAATCCTGACTCCTAGCATGGCGAGAACGTCCCTTCCTATCAGGGGTGGGGAGTTTTGCAAGATATAGGGGTGGATTGCTACTGTTTGTTCTGGTCCTTTCTTTGTATGGAGCGTTATAGCTACCAATTGGGTGCTTTTCCAAGCTCGGGACAACCCTCCCACCCCGTTCACTGGGGGGACTTCCTTGTACGGCCAGTGTCGGGGCCATAGGGCTTGGGGTAGGATTGTGCAGTCTGCTCCTGTGTCTGCCCAAAACTGAAGCCCTATTACATGGGGGTCCTGACTGTCATAAAGGCGGCATGTCCCCCAAATTTTCGGGGGTTCCTTCCCTATTTTTAGGGCCAGGGCCACCCAGGGGTTGTCCTGACCTGAGCTGCCCCCTGTTGGCCCTGTGGCACAGGTGCTGCTTGCGGTGGCGGTGGGTACGAAGGCGCCGCAGGCTGTGCCGTAATACCCGCTGGCAGGGGTATGAAGTTGGCTGCTTCCTGTGGGAGAATGGGGTACGAGGGCTCCCCGCCCCATTGGGGGTTGGCATGGATGGGCCGCCTCATATTCGCAGCGGGAGGAGGCTGGTTGCGGCCCGCGGGCCCCCTCCCCTTTCCGTTTCCCTGGAGCCGGGACCTGCATTCCCTAGCAAGATGTCCCTTCTTCCCGCAGCCCCAGCAGGATCCCCGCGGGCGTGTTTGGGGCGGAGGCGCTGCGGCAGGCCGCCATGCCGGCTGGGGGCAGCTCACCGCGATGTGACCCGCCTCCCCGCACTTGAAACACGCCATGGCATTGGTCAGGGTGTGGACGGCTGCCTGAATGGGCGTCAGGTGTTCTTCCCTAACTACGTGTCTGATCATGTCAGCCAGGCTAGCTCCGGCTGGCAGGGAGCGTAAGATATCCTTAGTAACAGAGTTGCACTGCTGGCGCAGGCAGTCGGCCACTACGGGGCCCCTTGCCTCTGCCGGCAGGGTGGAGGAGTCTATCGCTGCCTGCAGGCGATCTACGAACTGTGTGAAGCTTTCGCTCTCTGCCTGCCTCACGGTGGACCACGGTGCTGGCTTGGCCACGACTCGGGAGGCAGCGCGGATCGCCTCTCTAGCAGCCCGAGTGGTCGCTCTGACCTCCTCAGCCTGCATCTGTGCGGCTTGCTGTTGTGGCGTGATCATATCATCATGCTTTCCTATCAGTCTGGATAAGCTCGATCTGTGCAGGGGCCGCCGCGCGCCGGACGCCTGGGCTAGCTGCTTTCTACAATTATCTTCCCATTCCTGCCTAAAGACGATCATTCCCGCCCTGTCCAATATCATACGCCCTATCCGTTCGATATCAAAGGGAAGCAAGTCATCGTTGCTAAAAAGACCATCGATTAATGTAGTAACTATAGCCGAGTTGATCCCCTTTTCCGCAATGGCTTTGACAATTGCCTGTATATCCTTTGGGTTTATCGGGGTATATACCCTTTGTTGGTTCCCTTCCGGACCGGTAAGCCGTACCGGGAAGGCTTGTATGGCGGCCGCCGGGGACCATTCAGCTCAAGCTATCTTTATTTTCCCCCAGTCAGTAAACTGGGCTGATTCGTATTGTAGTTGTTTTTCGGCGCGGCTTAGAGCTTTACTCGGCTTTGTTTCAAGCCGTGCCGGTTCCGTTTCGTCCGTATCGGAGCCATCGCTAGCCTCCGTCAGCTCCCCTGAGCTGGTAGAGCTGTTGCTGGTCTCCGAGCCGGAAGACGAGTGCCAGCGTACTTCCGGGGCTCCGTGCCGTTTTGTTCGGCCCCGAGCTCGCTCCTCCCCGTAGGGGTGGCGCCGCTCCCGCCCCCCCGGCTCGCCGCGCCTACCGCGGGGGGTGGTTTCTCCCTTATATGGTGGCAGCTTCGGATGGAGCCGCTGGTTGGTTCCGCGCTCCGTGCCGCTCTCCGCCCCCTTCTCCCGTGCGCGCGCATTCCCGAGGTCGCGCTCCCCCCGGGTGTTCGCGCCGGGACCGCCCGAGCCCCGCCCCTCTCCGCCGCTCCCGGCGCCATGTTCAAACGAGTAGGGGGGCGGCGTGGCGGCCCCGTCTTCCCAAGCCGCGGTTTCGGCGGCTCGGGCTTCTTTTAGCAGCCCTTGCCAGAAGCGCTCCGCGGGCTTTTGCGTCTCCGACATCGGATCGCGGGCGGGCGGCGGCGGCGGCTCGGAGGAATTTGCGGTCTCTCGGGGGGTTTGAGCGGTGGGGGGTTTCTGGGGATTTTCGGCGGCGGGGGTGTCGCGGGGGGTTCCTGCGGGGGGGGGGTGGGCTCTGATCTGGGGGAGCGGGTGTCGCGCTGAGCCCCCCCGGGTCCCTGCTGCCGAGCGAATCGCTCTCAGGGGCAGTCTGCGTCCCCGCCCCCACGCCGAGTTTAGGAGTAACTAATAAACACGTGCGCGCCGCGGTCCATGTCTCCTGCTCCTCTATCACTTTGCGTAGGGCTTTTTCTACTCTGCCCCACGCTTTAAGATTTCTGCCGCTGCCTGAGGATTTTGTGTCCTCGGCTAGCGCGGCAGTGCATTTGTCCCATATTTCCGGATGTAATACATCCACGGGGCGCTCGATTGCCCCTAGCTCAAGCAATCTCGCTACGGCAAGATGAAAATCCTTGAGCTTACACCCAATACCCCACTGCGAATAAATAGCACTCACGATCCTGGCCATTGCGTCCATGACGCCCGCGGATCCTGGGACGTCTCCCCTTACGCCTGGGTACGGTCCGACCGTCCCGGCCGCTGCTTCTGTCCAGGTGAATCCCGTCCACCGGGCAAATTTTTCCTTTTTTTTTTTTCTTCTTTTGTCCCGGGTTTCGGCACCAGTATGTTGCCTTTATAAAAGACAACCAGAGACCTGGTTCAGGAACAGCACGGCAGCCTGCTCTCGGCCAGACTGCTCGGGCTAATCAACAGACGCAGACACCAATATGGCAGATGGTTGAAAAGCGTTTATTATCCTATCTCGTGAGTTTAAATAGCTTTTAGGGGTCTTTGCTACGTCAGAGGGGGGTTGGGGGTCTCAGGGGTTAGTGGGTAGTGGAAATTTACTAGGGCCGGTGTGGCTGCATTCCTCTGAGGCTTCTGGAGTTAATAGATAAGTGGGGAAGAGAGAGAGAGAGAGAGGGGGATGGGTCTATCTTTCCGTCACACCCCGAAATCTTCCGTTCGCCTGTCCCTTACCTACCACACATTATCTCTCAAGATTTGTTTTGTTTTGGGGTTTTTGTTCAATCTTTCTGAGGAATGGAGACTCACTAGATTTATTTGCTATGAATTCAGACCTGCTTTCAAAATAACCATTAATTTTAGGTATCCTCTGGAGTTCATTGGTATTTGTTCTTGATTACTAGAAATGAGTTAGTGAGAATATCCAAGAATTTATTTAGAGTGGTTGGAAATATTAACTGCTATATAAAGAGGACATTTTTATGCACTTCAGGCGCTATGAAGAGGACATGTACTGGAGGAGAATGGAGGAAGAGCAGCATCACTGGGATGACCGTCGCAGGATACCAGATGGAGGATATCCTCATGGTCCTCCAGGATCTTTAGGCCTGCTGGGAGTTAGACCAGGAATGCCTCCTCAGTCCCAAGGACCAGCCGTGAGTTTCTTAGCTTGAGGGGAAAAAAAGAAAAAATACTTACCAAGAGGCACAGTTAAGAACTATAAATTATTCAGTGCTACTTCAGTTGTCTCCAGAGTTTCTTAATAAAGGATATGGAAAAGTGAAGAAAAAATTATATACTAATGAAACTCTGTAATTGGACCCGTCTTTCAAAATAAACCCACTTATATGACAAAAGGATGCCTTGAAGACAAATATTGTTTCTTCTGAAATACAAGTCACTCTGGATTTGTGTACTACTTCTTATTTAATTGCATTATACTTTTATTTATCTAATTGTGGACAAATGTATGGATAAAAAGTGGTTGGATCATCAGTCCCAGAGGATAATGGTTTAGTGGTGGGCCATACTCTACCTAGAGGTCAGTAAACAAGTGCAGTGCTGCATGTGTTTATCCTGGGATTTGTCTCATTAGCGCCTCATCAGTGATCTGAAAGGTGATGGAGTGAGTGCACTGCTCATCAGGTTTGCAGCTGACATGAAACTTAATTGGTTGGAGTAGGGAGAACAGTTGATACCTTTGAGGGCAGGGCTGCCATCCAGCATGACCTAGGCAGATTGGAAGAATGGACCAACAGGAACTTTATAGAATTCTGCAAGGACAAATGCCTAATGCTACACTTGGGAGAGCCTAACCACTTGCACTGAAGGGCTGGGTAGCAGCCCTGCTGAAAGGCATCTGGGGTTCTTGGCAGATGGTAAGCTGAATGTGAATCAACCATGTGCCCTGGCAGAAAGCAAGGCTAATAGCATCCTTGGTGATATTAACAGGAGCATAACCAGTAGATAAAAGGACGTGATCCACTTTCATGAGATCCAAACTGCAATACTGCATTCAGTTTTGGACTTTCCAGTACAAGACAGATACTGATAAACTGTACCAGGTGTGGCTACTGGGATCAGGGGTCTGGAGTGTGCCCTGTGAGGAGAGACTTGCGGGATCTGGGCCTGTTCAGCCTGGAGAAGAGAGCTTCAGTGGGATGTAATAGCCTTCTAATACCTGTGTGTTATAAAGACAATGGAGCCAGGCTCTTTACAGTGAGAGGGTGAGATATACCAGCTTAAGCTGAGACAAAAGGTGCAAACTGAATACAGGATTTTTTTTTTTTCTCCACACAGATGTTGTGAAGCTCCATCTTTGGCGGTTTTCAAGAACCAACTGGATGAAGCTCTGAGCAACATGATATAGTCTTATATCTGACCATGGTTTCCACAGGAGGCTGGACTAGAGGACCTCTTGAGGTCTCTTTCAATTTGAATTCTTCTGTGATTCTATGAAAGCAATCATGGATACTTTGTTTTGCGGCAGTATGCAAGTATTTCCCAGTTAACAGAAAGACAATATATATTTATGTTGGGGAGGTACTTTTGATCCTGGGATTTCCCAATTTGGTTTTTTTTAATGCATCTCATGTTTTTTACAGATATGATTGATTGTGTTCAGTGTAAGTTATTAAGGATACTTCTGTTCATGTTTCCTTACATCTCAATAATTTGAGGTTTGAATATTCTGTTGTTTAGCCACATTTGGTTTTTGGTCACACATCACCTGTGAACTTGAAAGTATATAATAGAATTATAGAATAGTTTGGGTTGGAATGGACCTTAAAGATCACCTATTTCCAACCCCCTACCATGGTCAGGGACACCTTCCACTAGACCAGGTTGCTCAGAGCCACATCCAACCTGTGCTTGAACACTTCCAGGGATGATGCATTCACAACTTCTCTGGACAACCTGTTCCAGGGCCTCACCACCCTCACAGTAAAGAATTTATTCCTAATATCTAATGTAAACCTATTCTCTTTCAGTTTAAAGCCCTTGTCCTTTCACTACATGCCCTTGTAAAAAGTTCCTCTCCAGCTCTCTTGTAGGCCCCCTTTAGGTACTGGAAGGTGCTCTAAGATCTCCCTAGAGCCTTTACTTCTCCAGGCTGAACAGCCCCAGTTTTCTTAGCCTGTCTTCCTAGGAGAGGTGCTCCAGCCCTGTGATCATCTTGGTGGCCTCCTCTGGATTTGCTCCAGTAGGTCCACATCCTTCTTATGTTGGGATTGCCAGAGCTGGATGCAGTACTCCACGTGGGGCCTCATGAGAGCAGAACAGTCACCTGCCTTGACCTGTTGTGTACTCAAATTTCAGAAATGTGCTTTTTCACCTGTTTAGCCTCTACGCCGCCCTGACTCCTCTGATGACCGCTATGTGATGACCAAACATGCAGCTATATATCCAACAGAGGAGGAACTTCAAGCAGTCCAAAAAATTGTCTCTATTACTGAGCGTGCTTTGAAACTTGTGTCTGACAATATGACTGACCATGAAAAAAGCAAGAGCAAAGAGGGAGATGACAAAAAAGACAGCAGTAAAGACAGGTATTTTTTTTCCTTATTATATTTTAAGAATTTTATTACTTCTTTCTGAAGCCATTTTATGTTTTTCCTTGTACTGTTATCAGTGCTTTCAGGAATTCTGTTCCGTTTGGATTTTAATATGGCATATGTCACTGTGGCCTCAAGGGTATATGGAATGCTGCTATTTTATTTATTCTTTCTATCTTCATATTTAGTTTTATGATTTTTATAGTATTTTAAATGCAGCTTTTAACTATAATTCACAGAGCTTTGAAAGGAGTTTTACGGGTGGGCGTTTTGGCTAAAGGTTTGTTACTCCGTGGAGACCGAAATGTCAATCTTGTTTTGTTATGTGCTGAGAAGCCTTCAAAGATGTTACTTGGTTTTATTGCTGAAAGTCTTCCCAAACAACTTGCAGTAAGTAATATTTAGATTTTTGGATCTGAATTTTGGTAAAAATACTGTAAAAGTCTGTCCTCAAGTTAAATGTCTGTAGGGCTGACTGTGCTGCATTTCATAGCTCAGGTACAGTTTCTTTTCATTTTCTGACTGTGTCTGAATTCAGGGACTATGCTGCGTGTTTTGCTTTCTGTATATTAAATCCATAAAAGTGTCTAGGCGCTTATGCTAGCAGTGTAGTTTCAATCATCATTTAATAGATTTCCTTCAACTGGGAAATAGAAATGAGCAGAAGAAAGACTATTATCCAGTTACCAGCAGTGATAGATGTAATTTGTGTGGTGTTACAGGAAGTTTGCACTGCCTGAAGGTCAAAGTTCTTCATTAATGCCAGTCTCTTTGTACTTGTCTTGTTTCCAGTTTGTATGTGTCAGTGCTTTGTAGTCCCAGAAGTAGTTAACTAAGTCTTGTATGTGTTTTTTTTAAATTTGGCACAAAAAAAAAAAAGTACATGTAGTCTTAAACCATTCAGCAAAATTCATATAAACCATTTGCTGTATTTCTACAATAAATGAAAGTACAGAATAAAGTTTTTAGCTTGAGTACTCTCTACTGAACAAAGCCTGTCTACTATTGTTATAGGATGCTTTTCACAGCATTAGTACTTCAATGCAGTCTGGTAAAATGCTCAACAGATTCAGTGACATGGTAGAAGCATTAGCAGGATCAGATTAATTAGAAAATAATCCTGGGTTTGATCTTGTTTGAAATAACAGAAGAAAACTTTTAAACTGTGCATCTTGGACTGGCTTTGTGGAGAATTCACTTGTCCCTCTAGTTTGTGGAATAAGGTGATAGAGGTGCCTACAACTTTATTTTGGGGGTATTTAGAGTTATTAAATCTAGTCACAAGAAGCAATTCTGAGTAACCACCTTGTTACTCTTACTATTTTTTCCCCCGGTGTTAATCTTGTCCTTTGCTCTCATCAGAGGATGTTGTGATAGCCAAGTCTAGAATGTGACTTGCAGTACTCATCTTGTAATTGCAGGCTTGAAGAACCACCTCTGCATCTTGGTGCTTTTTAAAGGCTCCTATGTTCCAATGAGAAAAACTTTCAACTGGCATTTAAAGTGGCACTGAGTCTTTTATTTGTCTCAAATGTTGTCAAGATTCTTGTTATGTAATTTACTTATCTATATGAATTTCACTTGGTTGTTTTTTTCGCGTTTGCATGCTTGGCAACTGCTGTGTGTTTTCATTAATTATTTGGAAACAGTATGCAAGTCCATATATATATGTATTAATTGTGTATACTGTTGTTTCTTTGAATACACAGGTATTTGCTTCATATAATTATATTGCATTTCTGCCTTTCTGTTAAAAAAGGCTGTGTTGAAATCCATTTTCTTCCCTTTTCTTGGCCACATGCTAATAGAAGTTTCTGTTTCTTGATATTTAGGTAATAAGTCCCGAGAAATATGATATCAAATGTGCAGTCCCAGAAGCAGCAATAATTTTAAATTCATGTGTGGAACCCAAAATGCAAGTTACAATCACACTGACATCTCCAGTCATTCGGGAGGAGAACATCAGGGATGGAGGTTGGGAAGTTGTTAAAGATGTTACTTCTATCTATTCTGCTTAAGATGACATGGAGGTCCTAGAAGGCAACATGCTGGCATAACTAATGTACTTGATCAAAACCTCGTTTTTCAACAAGCAGTCTCAGTAGAGAACAATTTCCTATAAAAAATGCTTATATGATGCATTTAATTTTTAAAAATTCTAACTTGAAGTCCAACCTCAGCTTTCTGGAAAAGGTACAAACTTGATTCTTTTTCCCCCCCTCTTATAAAATTACAGGTAAAACTAAGTATTTTATAACAAGTGGATATAAACTGCCTTTCTAATGCAGTCCTGCCCTAAAAGAAAGATCACATTTTCAAGTTTTATCTAGATCAGTATTACCATAATTTACATATTCCAAATAGCAGCACCACTTAAAATTTACTTTTATAGTATTTTTGATGGTAACAGTGCTTATAATTTTAAAAGATGATGTAATTTTTTTCCAGCACTCTGAGGTCGCTTTTTGGCCTGGAGTTATTTTTGAATATATTCAGGCTCCTGATATTGCAACCAGTTTTCTATCCAACTAGCAAACTCAGACTAGGAAAATAAGAAATGGCTTTGTCATTTCAGCTGCAGCAGAAAGCGAAGTTTGTAAATAAAATTACATTTCTGAAGTTTACAGTTTTTCTGGTGCCAGCAATGTTGCTTTATGGTCTGCTTTGTAATGCTTTCCAAGCTTTAAAAGCTTTTAAGCCAAGAAGCATGATTAATGTTTACAGTACATTGGTTCCTTTTGTTTATGGGTCAGATAAAATTAACTTTTGTTTCCTTTTAATCCTGTATTTTCATATTTGAAGAGATCACGGCAAACAGGGTTCTGGTGTTTGACAGTGAACTTATGTATAGCAAATCTGAGGCTGTCAACACTTCTATGCAGATTGAAAAAGAATTGTATGTATGTATACTTGTGCTCATGTATATATGTATTTATATCAGCCACTGAGACGTCTTAAATTTCATCTCATCATTACATGTCCTCTAAATTACTTGAGATTTTTATACTGCATTAGTAAATATTCTGTAGCTATGACTAATGCATTGTAAGCAAGCTGTGTTAATAAAGTCATCCTACATAATCAGAAAGAAAAATGTCAAGATACATTCTCTAGTTTGGATGACTTCTGAAGTCTTAAAGAGTGCTTTGTACATGATTTTTGAGCTTTACATATTATTCCTAGTTATAAAGTCTTTGTACATATACTGTCACACCCAACCAGTTTACTTGTTTTTTGAAAATCTTAAGTGTAACATGGCTTTTAATTTGTCTGTGCTGAATCAGACTTCATGTATTATTTAAGCTCGTAAAGAATGCTTTAAAATATTTGATTCTTAAATTAAATTAACCTTAAACACTATGTTTGTTTATTAACATACTGTGAAAAAGTGCAATACTGATCCTGCCACAATACTAAATTTCCATTTTCTGACCTAAAATTCTATGATGTAGACTAAAAAGAAAATTTCAAATTATTATGATCAAACCCTTAATTTATGCCACCTAAAGGAAACAAATCTGTGCTTTTGTCTGACCCACACTTGAGTTAAAATGAGTTTATTCACTGCTGGAGTAATGCCTCTAGGCAAGCAAAATCAAGTTAGATTTCTTTTCAAGGCACTGAGCAGTATAAAAAGTTCACTTCTGAAGCTAAAGCAAATAGAAGACTGAATTGCAAATTATTGCAGCAAAGGAGGCCTTATTATGAAGACTTCTGCTTTTTTTTGCTGCAGAGTAATAGTATGTGTTTGGTTTTTTTCTTACTGCAGCTCCTCATGCTCTGTGTTTTACAATGATTTAAAGTTTGTTTTTTTTTTTTAGCCTGCAGTTTGAGTAAAGATGAGACTGAGACTTGCATGAGAAATAGAAACATGTTTGATGTTTAATAATCCCATTACATGATAAAAGGCTAAAAAAACCCAAACCAAAACCAGTGTGAAATAAAATTGTTAACCACATAGCTACTGTTCCTTACAGTATTGTGCATTGACAGTTTACCAAATTGGATATATTCAAAGGGCTCTAACCCAGCTGTGGAGTCTTTCCTTCAGCAAAGTGTACATATTTATAAAAGCATGTCTATATATGCGTGTGTCTTTATTTTTTTTATCCTTAGCTTACAGCCCCAGTCCTAAGCTTTCTAGCAAAGCATCTTGAGTCCTGTCAGGGGTTGCTACCAAGACATCGGAAGGATTTTTGACCAAGGTTTTCTAAAGCTCAGTGTCACACCTGCCATACTTTACAAAGGAGGGGTTTGGGCGCATAGTCCTAGGACCTACTGTTACTTTAGGTTTTTTTCTTTTTGTCTTTGTCTCTATCCTAGAATTAAGCAGTGTTCACACTAGTTTTCAAATAGTTGACTGGGTAAAATGTATTCTGTGTCATAAAACTTAGTAAAATTGATACACCTGTTAACTTTTAATGACAAAGTAGTGTGGACACAGCACGTCTAACTGGAGATTAACCCCTTATATTTAGGGTATTAATAAATTATGTTATATAGGGTAAGAATTTGTGCTTGTGTTTTGTAAATTAATTCAACTTTTTTTGTCTTAGCTCAACAGGGTGGTAGGTTAGGCATCTGAATTTAGTTAAAGACTATTTAAGGGGTTAATCCTAAAATGTAAAACAGATGCAAAAATTCACAGATTAAGTATTACAAGAGTTTCCTTGATGCATTTTTTTCCAGTCAATATATTCTCAGTGCAATTAGGTGTCTTACAACTTCTTAGTCTTTTTAAGTTTCAGGGATATTCATATGATACCTAGTAGTAGCACATTTTAGATTGACATTTCCAACACTGTGTATGATTCTCTTCTGCACGCTTAAACTGTAATTCTTTTTAGTAAAATTGTTTTCCAAATTGAATTTTTTTGAGCTAGAAGTAATTGGAGTTTCAAATTATGTAGTGAGTAACTGTGATTAAAGTTTGCACAGTATAATCTATTTGCATAGTAGCTTTAAAAGTCTGTAAAAAATGGACTGATTAGGCTACTGGACAGAAGAGACATTTTTAATTTCTCAACCTTATTTTGCCTCTTATTTTCCTGCTGTGCATTTTCTTTAAATAAACTCCTTGTCTTTTTATATCCAAGTTTTACTTGTTTTGTCAATTATCTTACCTGGCACCCCTCTTGTATAGGTGTCGGTTTGATTTTTGTTTTGTTTTAAATGAAATGCCACTTTAAATGTCTTCATTTGCTGTGTAAATACCTTGTTGGTTCAGTTATTCTTCTTTCCACTTTAACATAGAGTCCATACGTTTAAACATCTGTTTGAGAAGATACCTATATTCTTAGCTTTGTTCTTATTTTGAAATCTTCCCCCTTTTAGCCCTGTGCAGAGCAATGGGACTATCCTATAAAAAATGCCCAAATCTGAATGGAGTACTTCAGATTTAAGTTTTGCAAAGTTATAGAACCATGTTCATTCATTGCTTTTTAGTTCTCTCTAAAGTATCCTACTATTTAAAGTATCCTACTATTTATTTTGCATTTGTGTATAAATAGGTGGTTTCTGGGCTGTCTCTCTGCAGCATCCCTACTTGCTGGCATGTTTCATGTGACTAAATATATAACTATGTATAACTATATTCTTGGAGTTACCTAACTTTATATCTTGCTGTAGTAAATTATATTCCATTCAGCCATCTCCTGTAAAATGAGTGCCATTGAGTGAAGGCTTTTTTTTTCATCTTGTCTGGTGTATCACCAGTTATGCTACCAGTATACTTTGTCACTAGTCACAATAGCCATTTTCATAATTAGAAAAACAAAATACTTTAAAAAGTGATCATTACATTATATCCTTACAATTTTTAAAGAAACTTGAAGGTACCATTTCGTATTGTTCAGTGGTTCCAGTTTCATTGATTTAAACCATTTCCAAAAGGGCCTTGTGGTCTTTTCCATTTTGGTAACAAAGCAATCTGCTTTGTAATTAATAATTTTCTGAACATTTGAATATAAAAGATCTACCATATTTTAGAATAATAGAATAATTTAGGTTGGAAAAGCCCTTCAAGATTATCAACTCCAACTGTTAACCTAACGCTGCCAAGTCCACTGCATCTACAGTGCCACATCTATACTTCTTTTAAATCCCTTCAGGGATGGTGACTCACCCACTTCCCTGGGTAGCTTCTTCCAATGCTTGGTGACCCTTTCCTTGAAGAAATTTTTCCTAATATCCAATCTAAACCTCCCCTGGCACAACTTGAGGCCATTTCCTTCTGTCCTATTGTTTGTTACTTGGGAAAAGAGACCAACAACCACCTTGCTACAACCTCCTTTCAGGTAGTTATAGAGAGTGATAAGGTCCCTCCCGAGCCTCCTTTTCTCTAGGATAAACACCTCCAGCTCCCTCAGCCACTCCTCATAAGACTTATGCTCTAGACCTTTCACTATCTTCATTGTCCTTCTCTATACACACTCCAGCACCTCAGTGTCTGTCTTATTTTGAGGGGCCCAAAACTGAACACAGGATTTGAGGTGTGGCCTCACCAGTGCCAAGTAGAGCAGGACAGTCACTTCCCTTGTCCTGCTGGCCACACTATTGCTGATGCAATTCAGGATGTCATTTGCCTTCTTGGCCACCTGGGCACATGCCGGCTCATGTTCAACCACTATCAACCATTGCCCCCAGGTCCTTTTCTGCCAAGCAGCTTTCCAGCCAATTCTCCCCCAAGCCTGTAGTGCTGCATGGGGTTGTTGTGACCCAAGTGCAGGACCTGGCACTTGGACTTGTTGAACCTCATACCATTGGCCTCAGCCCATCAATCCAGCCTGTCCAGAGTCCTCTGCAGAGCCTTCCTACCCTCGAGCAGATCAACACTCCCACCCAACTTGGTGTCATCTGCAAACTTACTGAGAGTGCACTCAATCCCCTCATCCACATCATTGATAAAGATATTAAACAGGACTGACACCAGTACTGAGCCTTGGGGACCCCACTAGTGACTGACCACCAGCTGGATGTAACTCCATTCCCCACCACTCTGGGCCTGGTTGTCCAGACAGGTTTTTACTCAAGAATATGTACACCTGTCTGAGCCATGAGCAGCCAGTTTCTCCAGGAGAATGCTGTGGGAAATGCTGTCAAAGGCAATTTAGGTAGACAAGATCCCCAGCCTTTCCCTCATCCACTAAGTGGGTCACCCTGTCATAGAGGGAGATAAGGTCATTTAAGTAGGGCCTGCCTTTCCTAAACTCATGCTGGCTTGGCCTGATCCCCCGGTTGTCCTGTATGTGCCACATGATGACACCCAAGATGATCTGCTCCATGACATTCTCTGGTACCAAGGTCAGGCTGACAGGCCTGTAGTTCCCCAGATTTTCCTTTTGGCCCTTCTTTCAGATAGTCTGCTTTGTTTTTTTCTTTTTTGGCTTTTCTTTTTCTTGCTGAATCATAAGTAAAGCAATCCCTATTCAGATCCTTCCTTGCATCCTGAATGTTATTGAAGCACATATATTATGGATTGAGGAATTTATATGAGTAAGAGAGGATATTAAAAAGTAATTGAACTCTTAAAACTGAAGAGATTTCACATTCCTTTAGTCAGTTTTTTAAAATGCATAATTTCCATTTCAAGTTTAAGGTATGATAAAAATAACATTACAAAATATCTAGTGCTTTTAAGTGGATTTTTAAAAATATACTTAGCTTTTCTTAAAAAGAGTAGGTCCCAAATAGCATGTGACCATGAAAATTTTCATGAAACTGTGTGAATATTTCTACTTTCTTAAAGTGTATTTTTAGTGTTACTTCTGTCTTGTGGTCTCCGTGCTGGTGTACTGTGTCCAACCATTCTTCCTTTGCTATTTAATTTTAGGGCATATATGTTTTTACAGTGTTAGCTTAAAGAAAGAAATACTATGTATTGCATAATCTGCAATGCATTTGAAAATAACGTGACAGCTGAAGTTTAATATGATTCTACAATCTTCATACTGGGTTAATGCCCTAATACCAATTGAATGATTTTTATTGAACAATTGCATTTGTTGTTCATGGGTTCAAGCTTTAAATGGCATGTGTGACATTGAAGCTACTTTAAATGGTCAAACACCCATTCCTCACTGCATTTTGCCAATTCAATCCATTTTAGATGTAACCTCGGGTATGGTGAAAGACCCACCGGACGTCTTGGACAGGCAAAAATGCCTTGATGCTCTGGCTGCTCTACGCCACGCTAAGTGGTTCCAGGTTCGGAACATAATTTTATTTTCTTCTTGTAGCCTTATGAGAGATTAGTTCAGTTGAAATATAAATGTTTAACTGTGTGAAAGCACTCAGTGTTGTTCATGATAATAATACTTAATATTTTTCTGGCCCCTGAATTTAAGTGTAGAAGGTTGAGTAGGGAGGAACTGCTCTATGCAGTTATTGTTCATTTGACCTTTTTTTTTTCTTTTTCTGGTCATCGAGAAAGCAATGTTGAAAGCTTAACTCACTTGGGGTGATCATATGTTGTATATTTGTTATGTGTTCCATAAGGCTGCAGAGTAACTTTGCTTCAAATAATGGAATATGCGTTTAAAGCTTTGTGTTTAGATTTAAGACTTTTTTCCTATTTCTTTAAGTGTAGGGAACGAAAGGCAAGAAGCAACTGTTTGGTTTAGTGACTTTGCATTCTGGCAAAGGCACAATAAAGAAACCAAACAGATTTACTTCACCTTTCCGTCTCTATACCTATTTCTTAGACCTTTATTTTTATTTCTAATATAGAAAAATACTGTATTTATTGTTGCAGGTGAACATAGGTCAAAGTGTATAGGAGATCAAGAAAGGTTATTCTTGTATAACCTGTGCACTTTGACTTCTATCACCTTAAATTACTAACCCTGTATAAAATACTGCTGTAAATGGCAGCTCTTAGAATAAAGTTGTAGAATTATTTGTTTCGGTCTTGTATCTGAGCTTCCATTGAACAGCGGTGTTTTAGTCTTTACACAAGTCCTATTTGCTTTATATGCTGGGATTAATTTGATTTTGCATTGTTCTCAAGGCTAGAGCTAATGGTCTGCAGTCCTGTGTGGTTATCATACGTATTCTTCGTGACCTCTGTCAGCGGGTTCCAACTTGGTCTGATTTTCCAAGCTGGGTGAGTAATGTTCTTCTGGATGAGTTTTTAATGCACATTGAGATTTTTTTAATCCACTGCAAATAAAGCATGGGAGTGTGTTACTACAGTTTTAAAATTTGGGTTTTTAAAAGGAGTAATGTAGGGTTTTGCTTGAGGGGTTTGTTGGTTGGTTGGTTGGTTGGTTGATTTTTTGGTTTTCCCCAACAAATGATCCAGATTACCTCTAAAATTTTAATTTTCTGTGGTTTTGCCATGTGGAGCTGAAAATGTTTTTTCAAAAGGAATTTTCTTGTTTGGAATTCTTTGAGATTAGCATTCTTATTCTATATTTTAGCATTTTTTCCTTTATTCTGTATCAAAGAATCTATTTTTTTCTTACAGCCTACTCTGAATTGTTTAGAATTTACTGAAACTGATAGAAAATAATGTCACCTGTGCCCACATAGCTCTGTGATAACAGAAAAGCTGCTTGAAAGAATAATTCAAAGCAATTCCTGCAATCATTAATATATTGTTTCTGTAAGATGAAATACCACAGTACTAGTCTGTGGATGCGTAGCCATTGGCATTTTAATCAGTGTCACTTAGACACAGCTCTCTAGGTTGTAACTGGTTACCTATCTCAATTCTTGCAGCTGAATGGTTTTGGAGCATTCTTTTACACTGACTATCTTAAATGATGCTCTCCAGGAGTGCAACTTGTGTTCCAAATATTAATAAATGTTCAATCTGTGGACTGCACAAAGTTAGTCTGAACCAAAATCTCTGAAGCGTATATATGTGGAGGTAAATTCAACTTTGACTTTTTTGTTTCATAGACGAAATCCTGTTGCACTGTGCTGCTTCCTAATGTAGACTTTTCAGTTTTGGCAGGAAGAGTGCTAACATTGTCGAGACAGTTATAATAGTTGTCATTGTTGCAATGAGAAATGTTTTACAATTGTAATAAGCTTGCTGACCAGAAAAAATGTGGAGCAATTTGTAATTTCTATAGTTTCCCCCCCTCCACGCAGCCCCCTCTAGGATCCGACCAGCTCAGAGATATGGGGCTGTGAGGGGAGGAAATACCAGGAGAGGGAAAAGTATTCAAAAGAGGCCCTTACCCCAGGGGTGTTGGAACAGCTCTGTTTATTCTGTGGTGTCCATGGAGAGCGGGGCAAAAGAGAAAGAGCAGGAAGTTTCAGGGGTCTATATAGGTTTTGGACAGGGTGGGCTCTCCTGGCTCCCTGTCAACCCCGTTGGGGCAGGAAGGAGGATCCAGGGGTTATCATGATCAGAGCCACAGAGGCCCTAGGAAAGGGGGGACAAAAGGGTGTTCAGGAGCTCACTGTAACAGCAATTATTTCTGCTTTTTAAAATACTTAAAGTAAAAAAAAATATCCAGTTTCTGTGCTATACTTCATGAAAGATATACTGTACAAATATAGTTTAACAGAAGCTCAGAAGTATGTAAATACCCTCAATATTACTGACTAAGTAGCCAAAGAATAAACCCTGGCATACTTTTAGAAATGTCTCCTTTAAAATATTGCAACACACAGCAGGCACATAGATGAAGAACAAGGAATGTTGTTTCTTATTTCTCATAATATCTGTTCTAAGGCGCAGCCAGAAAGGAAGCGATGTGTCACAGAATCACGGAATGGGTAAAGTTGAAAGGGACCACAGTGGGTCATCTGGTTCAGCCTCCCTGCTCAAGCAGGGTCATCTCAGAGCACGTGGCACAGGACTGCATCCAGATGGATCTGGAATATCTCCAGTGAGGGAGACTACACAACCTCTCTGGGTAACCTGTTCCAGTGCATGGTCACTCACAGAATAAAGAAGTTCTTCCTTATATTCAGGTGGAACTTCCTGTGCATCAATTTCTGCACATTACTTATTGTTCTCTTGGTGGGCATCACCGAGAAGAGCCTGGCTCTATCATCTGACACTCACCCTTTAGGTACTTATAGACATTGATGAGGTCCCCTATCAGTTGCCTCTTCTCAAGGCTGAACAGGCCCAGTTCCCTCAGCTTTTCCTCCTAAGAGAGATACTCTAGACCCTTGATCAACTTCATAGCCCTCTACTGGACCTGCTTCAGGAGCTCCATGTCTCTCTTGTACTGAGGAGCGCAGAACTGGACACAGCACTCCAGCACACCAGGGCTGAGCAGAAGGGCAGGATCAGCTCCCTCGATGTTCTGGCAACACTCTTCCCAATGCACCCCAGGATGCCATTGGCCTTCTTGGCCACAAGGGCACTACTGGTTCATGGACAACTTGTCCACCAGGACCGCCAGGTCCTTCTCCGCAGAGCTACTTTCCAGCAGGTCACCCCCAGCCTGTACTGGTGCCTGAGGTTATTCCTCCGCAGATGCAGGACCCTGGACTTGCCTTTGTTGAATTTCAAGCAGTTCCTCTCTGTTCATCTCTCCAACCTGTCCAAGTCCTTCTAAAGAGCAGCACAACACCCTGGGGTGTTGGCCACTCCTCCCAGCTTTGTGCCATCAGCAAACTTGCTGAGGAGGCATCTGCCCCTTTGTCCAAGTCATTGATGAACACATTAAACAATACTGGACACAGTATAGAACCTTGGGAAACACCACTAGTTACAGTCCTCCAACTAGACCCTGTGCCACTGATCACAACCCTCTTGGATCTGCTGTTCATCCAGTTCTCAATACACCTCACTGTCCACTCATTCAGTCCATACTTCCTGAAGTTTGCCTATGAGGATTTCATAAGAGATTTCAGGCCTAGGTGTGTCTCAGTTCTCTCTAAAAGTGCTTCCTGTCTTGCTCTTGTCTCCGAAAAATGGGAAATAAACTCTCCAACCAATTTGCTAGGTTAGAAAGCCAACATTACTTTATTAGCAGTGCTGGATACATGGGGGATTCTTCTCAAAGCATGCATGAGCAGCAACCTAACAGACCAGGTTATATTCCTGAAACTAATGCATATTCATCACATTTCCTGAATACGTGCATATATGCTAATTATTTCCATGGATTTGTTTGGATATGGTTCTAGATATTTTGATTAATCTTTTGTCTTTCAGAGTATCTCAAATATGTCATCAGGTCATAATGTACTTCACTTATGATTCTTTGCTCTGACACACAATCCTTGTTCTCAAAACTAAGGTATCAGCTAATACATATTAATCACTAATAGAAGTAAACAAGGAAGCATTAGCTGGCAGAAGACTTATTAGTCACAGATCTAGGGAGTTAACACAAGGCACAATCATCTCTGGTATTTGCATAAGCACTTTATGGTACAAAAGTAAACAACCACAAATACAAGGATAATACACTATTGTGCTAAAGTTAAAATAATGTTCCAACATTTGCCTCCAATGCTGCATAGACTTTTTATTAAAGAAATTGAACTTGTTCAGTGACACTCTTGGTACCCAATGCATTGCCAGTGCCACGAATCACCATTGAAGTCTGTGTATTCAGTTCTTTTGGCTTGTTGGCAAAGTCCTACTGACAAAAAAAAAAAAAAAAAAAAAAAAAGACATTTAAAATATATGTGATTTCTGACAGTTACAGATAAAATTTTTTAGATTGAAGAAATATATTTTTCTAGACACAGAACTTCTCCTGACCTGACCTGTATGCTAGAAGCCTGTTACAAGCCAGAGATGCCAGAGCTTTTCAGAAAGAGCCTAAGTAGTTTTAATAATAGAAAATATTAGGAAATCTAAACATACACATTAGTATCAGTCTCTTTATATACCTAGAAATAAAAACTAAATTAGAATAATTGTGTCAAGTTCCTACAAGTTAGAAGGAACCAATATTCAAGGTCGATTTATTTTTATTTATTTTCCAAACTTGAAATCTAGCCATTTGTGCACATAAACACTGGGGAATCATAATTCACATTTTCCTATTATGAAATTGAAGACTTTAGTGTATTGTATGAGGATACAAAATAACTAGACTTGAATAAATAATGTGATATGCTTTTTTTCTTTCCTGCTGTAATTTGCTTCATACTCAAAACCAAGTAAATTGTTGCTAAAACTCAAAAGCTTCACCCTGAGTGATACAGTTTAAGTACTAAAATATCATGCTCAATAATTGAAATTTTTCCGTTAAATTGAGCTAAAATAGAAGGGAATATGCACCCTTAGGGAGTGATTGTAATCAGCACTGCCTGTAGTTACTTGCATGCATTAGAATGGACATTTATTATTGAAAAATAGAAAGAGAAGGCAACATTAGAGCAACTGTAAACTTGGGTGAGGAACCAAAAAAAAACAAACTCCCAGAAATCCCACCAAAAAACAAGACAGACATATTGTTTAAAAATAAAACTTGCCAAGGAGGTGGCATTGAAACATCTATTTAATGCTTACTTTTGAAAAAATATTTTATAGTTTTTTTTAAATAGTGTCTAATAAAGGCAAACAATGGAAATATTCACAGAAAAAAATGTGTAAATTTTAGAAAACCTGTTTATCATCAAGGTTTTTTTTACACTTGTTTAACATCTAAATTAGTGTTAGCGTATACCCAGAAAACAAAAATTGCAGTGAACTTCAGTTTTACAAAACTGAAGAACTAGTAACCACTTAAATGTTAAAAGGTAATTAAATGTTGGATACTTTAGGTTTCTGTATTCTTGTAGAAAAAAAAAAATCATTTCTCTGTAGCATCCTGTTAATTTCATTAGATGAATCAAATTCATCATTTCATACTGTGTGCTGTTTATTCACATGGCTAACATATTCCAGTGACCTACCACATTTAATGCTCTCAAAAAATGACTGGACAAGTTCTCCAAGTAGGCTACTACTGTATAAATTTCTAAGAAAATCTTTGGACAACTTGTCATGAGAAGCAGCATATCAGTACTCAACACTCAATGTTAATCTTACAGTAGCTTTCTTTTTATTAATTGTTAACAAACATCTGATTTTTAAAATTTTTACTGAAAGTGTTCTGTGACATGTAATATCCTTCAAAATTTCAGTATCAAAAGTTCTGTACTGAACAACAGTAGTAGCTTTTTTTTTTTTTTTTAAATCAATCTTCTAAATTGTCTGGATTTTCTTATTGTTCTTCTAGGCTATGGAGTTGCTTGTGGAAAAAGCAATTAGCAGTGCTACTGGACCACAGAGTCCTGGGGATGCACTAAGAAGAGTTTTTGAGTGTATATCTTCAGGAATCATCCTTAAAGGCAAGTTGCAGTTGATCAGTGTCTGTATACTTATGTTTAAGTAATGTAAAATCTGTAATCTTGATTGAAATAAGATGGAGATTTGCTACTAATTAGCCTGTTTTAGGTGGTCCTGGCCTTCTGGACCCTTGTGAGAAAGATCCTTTTGATACACTTGCTGTAATGACAGATCAGCAACGAGAGGATATTACTTCAAGTGCACAGGTAAGGAAAAGTGTCACAGTACGATAAGATGGATTCAAACCTATACAGGGACCCTCAGCCAACCCTGTTCAAGTTTAAATGCAAGCAAACCACTGGCCAGAGAGCTGGGCAGAGAGCTGTCCCATCCAATCAGCTATCTGGACCCAGGCAATTCAAAGCCCCTATAAAAAGGGCAGCCATATTAAACTCAGGGCTGTTTGCTGATGACGATTGGTGTGTTGTGTCGTGTGTCTGTCTCCAACTCACAACCCCATGTAACAGAAAATATGTGTTAAGTAACTAAATTTGATGGATAGTTTTTTTGTGTGAGTGATTGGTTGATTTGGGGATTTTTTTGGTGTTTTTATTAATGGAACTATATGATGGATATGAATTTTCTTTTCTTAGAATGTAGTCCAGTCATTCAAATGATCAGTCTTAAGCTAGGCAATAAAAATGTCACAACAGAGAATGTATAATAGTGTTCATTTCTGTATGAAAATTAACATATTTTCCTGAAAAGTTTGAAGCACTCCCATCTACATATATATAATCTCCGTAAAGATGCTTACTCTACAGTAGTATGTTATTAGATTTAAAATTGCACCAGCATTTAATACTTTATAAATTGTCCTGGTTTAGGGCAAATTTTGGGAGGAAACCTCCAAAGGGATCTCCTCTAGAAAGCAAATTTCAGCAGCCCCTCCCCTAACTGGTTCGTGAGAAAAAAAATCTCCTTGGAGAGAAGTGGAAAAAACTGTTTATTTAACAAGAAAAGTACTCACAAACATGAAAAAATAAGTAATATTAAACAATGGAACCTCTTGCTGTTTTGAAGAGATGACAAATTCACAGAGTCCTTCTGTGGATGTGGCTCAGTCTCTCCGGGGCTTGGGCCCAGCGTGCCAAGCCTGGCGTTCAGCTTGGGGGGCTCCCGGGCAATTTTCCTGATGTCCTGGACTGGAGAGAAGCTGAACAGTTCCAGAAGAAGGCACAGTCCAGGGAAAAGTTTTCTTGCCTTAACTAACAAGGAAAACCAGTGAAAAAAACAAAGAAAACCACCTTGTCTCTCTCTCTCTCTGCAAAAGCTGAGAACTCCGAGAGCACTGAGCTCTTATCTGTCTCCTGCTGTCCAAGCTAGGCAGCACAGTCTGTGAGAAAGAAGAATTCCAGGGGAGTTAAGTGAAGCTTCTGCAGATAAACTTCGTGCTGCTTCTCCCCTCCTCCCCTTCGCCCTCTCTGTCTCTCTGGGCCTAGCTTGAAACTACAGGACCCATTTCTGAGCAAAAAGACAGATGATGGGGATACCAGCATCATAAAGTCACCCCAAGAAATCTGTGAAAGCTTAAATTTTAATCTTTATTGTATCTACTTACAGTATTGGCTATTCATGCTTGCAGCTTAAGAGTTTACTGCCCCTACCTCTTAATTCAATCTTTTTGCCAAAGATTGCTAATGCATATTGGGACACATGACAAGCCTTGGCTGCTTCAATGCAAATCCAGCAGCTAAAACACATGTATATTATTTTTAAGTTACTATGTTGTATTTTGTATCGAAGCAGCAAATTTTATTGTGTTGACTTTGTTGGGGGAAGAAAGAGAGGATAATAAGAGCTAAAGATATCATATACCACTAATGTTCTTCATTAATTGTTTGATAAAGTATTTTAAATTGACATTTGTTTCTAACAGAAATATCTTCTTTCTATCTTTTTTCTAGTTTGCTCTGAGACTCCTTGCATTCCGTCAAATACACAAAGTTTTAGGAATGGATCCATTACCACAGATGAATCAACGCTTCAACATCCATAATAATCGTAAAAGAAGACGGGACAGTGATGGGGTTGATGGATTTGAAGCAGAGGGAAAAAAAGACAAAAAAGATTATGATAACTTTTAAAAATGTTTGTCATTAGTGCTAAGATTGAAGGTGATAAAAAGTCCATTTGTTGCCTTGCTTTTAAATGGACATAATAATGTATGTTTAAAATATCCAAAAACAACTTAGTAATTAGATTTGGAAGAGAAAAATATAGCTCTTCTGTGAGATTGTGAATATTTTAATGATATACTGTATCAGACAGATTATGAATGGAAAGACTGCAAATGGAAACTGTAGTTGGAAAAAATAGTGTTTTTTCCTCATTACATTTTCTTTAAATGTGTTGCTAACTTTAGTCTCCATTTCTCTCTCTTGTGCATTGTTTTATCTCGACTGTATTTAATGCAGTGTTTGTGCTTCTGTTCCTATGTGTATTTTGATTATTTTTTTTTATTTGGAAGGTATTTTTTCTTTGCCTTTGACACTAATTGTATAAGTTACATTGTGTTAGCATAAACTATTGCTCTCCCAATTAATATTTTACAGAACTTCATTTTGTAAAGTGAGACTGCAGGATTATGTTTTTGCTTTTGTTTTACTAAATGTGAAGGAGTTGCAACACGTAATTATCCTGCCATGTGAGTGCTCAGAATTAAAAGTTTTTGCCAATCTTTTGGCATTTGTCTCTTTAGTGTGATATAAAGTGTGATATTAATACAAATTTTTGTTAATCTAATCAACTTTGCTCTTAGTTGTGTATTAGCAGTATAAAAGCTAATATATACGGTATGGTCTTGCAACAGTTTTAAAGCAGCTGCATAATTGATCAAAGTTTTGCATGATGTTTTGAGTTTATTTAATATAAGGGCTTTTAAAACTATCCTTTTAGGTTAAATGCGTAGGTCTTTCTATGATTGACTTTGTGACATAGGAAGGTCAAAATATAACTTTCTGAATTTCCTTTTTCAACATATAAACAGAAGCAGGCATTTCTCATTTAGACAAAGTTAGTAATTCTTTTCAGTCCACTTTGTTGATATTAATGCCTCTCAGCCCTTAAAATAAATGTTTTTCATATCAGTGCCTGTAAGGGTATTCCTTATAGCTATTTCTGTACAAATTCTCAGTTATTTTTTTTCAATAATTAAAATTTTAAAAAGTGAAGTATAACTGAAAAAGTGAACATTATTAAAGGAAAAAAGTAACCCTGAAAATTGATGTATGCTTATGTCTCTTTCAAAAAGCTAAGTATAGCAGTGGTGTAGTAATGTTACACCATACTGTTGATGTATGCTCTGGTACACAGGTGTGATTTGTTGTCAGAGAACTACTGTGGAATATGCAAATAAGAGCTAAAATTTATGAAATTACTAAAATTCATTATACACTTGAAACTGAAATTTCCCTCATTCTATTCAGTGTGTATTATGCTTTGTTGCAAACCCATAAAACTTGCAGATAAACATAGACTAACATTCTGGTAACTATTGATGGCTGTAGGAATGCATCACACATTACAAAGATCATTTGTTATTTCTGGTACAATTAAAAAACCTTTTTGTTCCATTTTGAGGTTGAATTTATCTTTGACCTTTTTAATAAATACCTCTTGGAGTAGGATTGGGGGGATGTTTTTGTTTTCAATGCTTACTACTAACAGCATGGGCCTGTAAAATAGAAATATACAGTATTTTAGAAAAATAGAATCTTAAGGAAATATATTAATAGTATTCTTCAAGCATTAGAGTGCAGTTTTAAAAGGAGCGGTTATTAGTGGTTATCAAATAAAAGGAAGGCTTTCTCATTGTAGGAAAGATTTCTTACCAATCAGAAATACAATAATTAATGCATGCTTTAAAATTACTTTTAAAAAGGATTATGCTAGTTTCTTTTGTCTGGCCTTGATGTGTGGCTCCAAGCATGTGCTTGGTCTTGGTAGGTATTGGTTGTTTGGGTTTTTTTGGTTGATTGGTTTTTTAAAAGGGATATCTTGCTGCCATTATGTCTGATAAGCCATTACTGTTTATTTTGAAAGCTACAGGTGCTATTCATGCAGCTAGTTCAACTCCATACCAAAGTTTCTTTCTCCATAAAACAAACATGCTTATTTGGGCATGTGATTGACCCTAAAATTTAGGATTAAAAAGGTCAAAGATGTATTTTGGATTTCCTGTGGTTTTGTTCTACTGGCTTTTAATTCTTAACCAGTTTCTGGGTCTTTTGAACTATTGTATACTTAAAGTGATTCCACAGTAAATATGAAGCTGTGACTATGTCCTAGGTTGACTTTATGATGCCTTTATCCCCAATCGTCTGCCCTGTTTATGTTGAATAATAAGTTCTACACCTTTAAGACTTGTTCCAGGAGTGAAGGGGCGGGGGAAGAAGCGAGGAGTTTGTTTTCAAGAACTGCACTCCCTCCTCCACATTCCTGCTCCTGGACTGTGTTGTCTGCTGACAGACATCGAGAGAGAGCTCTCCTTTGCTTTTTCTAGTTAGTTTTAGCTAGCTGAGGCAAAGAAGTTCCCTGGACTGTGGTTTTTTTCCCTTTCTCTGGACCTGCTCTGGACTAAACACCAGAAGAGCAGCAGCAGCTCGCACCTGTGGCCCAGCGGGCCGGGCCTGGGCCGTGGCATTTCCAGCGCCGGAGGGACTGATCAGAGACTGAGTGAGCCCAGCTGCAGCCCGGGGGATTTTTCTGAGTTTGTCTCTCTCTTGGAGTGGCGAGAAATTTTATTGTTTAATATTGTTTAAATTTTCTTGTTTAATAAACAGGTTTTTTCCACTTTTCTCCAAAGAGGTATCTTTCCCGAACTGGTTGGGGGGAGGGGCCAATTGAGTCTGCCTTCCTAAAGGAACCCTTTTGGGGTTCTTTCCTCAAATTTGCCCTGAACCAGGACAGACTATGATTTTTGTGCTGTGTGCTGAAGAGTGAATTTGCAGATTATTTCTGTTTTACCTGTCCATTTTAATGGGCTATTTTAACTATGTAACTCCTGACTCTTGTTAAGCTAAGAATAATGGAAAAAGCAGGTTTTAAGAAGTAAAGCATGAGCTTTGTTTTTAAATATTACATTGTGTGCTTAGGAAGATAAAGTTTAGACCAAGTAATCAATTTACAAACAAATAACCATTTTAATACCCTATGTTTTGGTAATGCTATTGGTTTGCTAATAAACAGTGTTTGCCTTTCTTATTCAGCAATGCTGTGTGTTAAATCTCAAAGTGCCAGACACTGTAGTCATAATACACAAAAAAGAAATGTACACAGCAAGAATTTTCCCCTCAGTGCTCACTTCAGAGGAACAATTTAGTAAAATGAGAGCTGTTCTGTTTTGAAGTATTTTCAAGCTTTGACTTGTCTGCCTAATTTTTAAGGATGTGCTGTCTGTGAGCATTGTGGTTTCACATGGGTTCCTGTAGAGGCATTGGTAGAAATGCAAGTCTGTTGGATACATTCCATCAACATCTCACCCTATTATAGAATTATATATGAATTGTTAATCTTATGGTGCTATTGAATGTGATGGATTCATTTGCTGCTTCTATTTTTAGACCTATTTCACTACTCAGAAGTGATTTAAAATGTACTTAAAATTGTACCTAGAAACTTTCTGAGAATTGAAATCAATTTTAAATATTCCTACAGCTATTTTCATGTATATTTAACATTCTTGTTGCTTGATGAATATCTGGTGATGATGGGTCTATGAAGAATTCGCACAATGCCAAATTAATTTATTTATTAAACAAGACTTGTTTGCACTGTCCAAACAGATTTTATCAGCATACCACTAGTAATAGAGAGGGAAAAAAAAAGAAATTGGGAGGCATAATTTGCAATCTGTTGTTTTTTCTTCTTACATCATAGGTTTACAAAGTACAGTGATAGATTCAACCAGAACATGTTTTCCTTCTGGGTGTTTTTTTTTTCCTCTGAAAGCTGTAAGCCAAAGAGCTTTCCTAGGCAAAAAAGGCTAGCAAATTAGATTTCTTCTGAGAGATACTTTTATAAATCTTCTCAAGAGTTCTCTTTTCCTGTACTGTGATATTTCTCAGCCTTTTTAAAATGAAACATACGCCTAGTCTTTTGAGGAGGAAAAAAAAAATTAAGGAGTGTCATCAACAGTATTATCACAATGGTTTTGATTTACATCCAAATAAAAATCAGGCTTAATTCTGTTAATATCTATTGATTTGTGTTCTTCAATTTTGTTCCATTTTCTCATTTAGATTTATGAAAATGTGCAAATCATAGAATCATTAAGGTTCAAAAAGGCCTCTTAGATCATTGAGTCCACATATATATATATATTCCTAGTACTGAGAAAATTTGAAGTTATTGAACTGCGTTCTGTTAGGTTAGCATTTACATTTTAAGAACTTCTGCCCTAACAATATGTGGTATGTGTAAAGTTCCTAACAGGGTAAAGTTCGTTGGTTTTCATGGATACCTGGGCGGAAGTTATTGATGGGGATTTTTAACCTGTACGGTGCACACTTTCCTGCTTAATCTAGCCTTAACATGTCTGTGTCACTGTTGAGGCAGGACGGGAACGAAAGAACTCCAGTTCAGAAGGCTAGACGATGTGAACACCCAACTACCTTTATTTCAAATACATCGCTCTTTTATAGAGAGCATAGTGCAGACTAATTTCATTGGTCTTAAAGTAAAAACATCTCACCCATTGGTGTGCAGTGAATGACACACGGTGGCAGAACATATCTATAAACAATGTGAACAAGAGAGATAGAGAATTATTTACATTCTTTTGCAACTCTTTCCCAGGCTCTAGCCTGGCAGAAACTCTCCTTTATTTCTGACTGAACTGAGAATACCCATATGTCTGCATTAGCAAAGTTCCTCATTAAGGGTTGTAGTCCTTAATAGGTATGTTTTCCTAAACTATTTTGTCCTGGGGTGACTTTATGATGCTTGTATCCCCATTCATCTCTTTAGCCCAGAAATAACTTTTGCACCTTTAAGACTGGTTCCAAGAGCGAAGGGGGGAGAGAAGCGTGGAGTTTGTTATCAGAAACTGCATTCACTCCTCCTCCACATTCCTTCTGGACTGTGTTGTCTGAAGCATGGACAGACAGTGGGACAGAGGTCTCCTTTGCTTTTTAGTTAGTTTTTAGCTAGCTGAGGCAGAGAAGTTCCCTGGACTGGGGTTTTGTTTTTTTTTTTTTTCTTTTTCTTGGAACTGTTCGAACCTGCTCTGGACTGAAAACCCAGAAAAGCACCGGCAGCTCACATCTGTGGCCCCGCTGGGGCCTGGCCTGGGCCATGGCGTTTTTCCAGCACCGGAGGGACTGATAAGAGACTGAGTAAACTGAGCTACAACCCATGAAAAAAGACTTTCTGAGTTTATGTGAAAAATGCATATTATATGATTGGCTCTTCACAAATATTAAGATGAATACTATATGTGTTATGTCGGAAAGTTATGCTGTATTAATCTCTTAAGTAGTGCTGCATTAGTCTCTTTTAAGTAGTGTGGTAAATATAGTTTTTAGGCTATAGCATAATATTAAAATAGAAACTATGTGATGTAAGATTGTCGTAGTTTAGGGCAAATTTGAGAGAAAACCTCTGGAAGGAGCCCCTAGAAAGCAAACCCCCACGGCCCCTCCCCCCACCTGGTTAGGGAAGAATTTCCTTGGAGAGTAGTGGAAAAAATTCTGTTTATTTAACAGGCAAAGCACTCCCCAGCACAAAAAAATTAACAACACTGGATGACAAAACTCTTTCACTGCTCTGAAGAGATGACAAATTCAGAAAGTCTCTCCTGGGAGTGGTCGCTCTGTTATCGGTCCTTCCAGCGCTGGGAATGACTGCTGCAGGCCACAAAGTGCAAACTCTTGATGTTTCCCAGGACCAGCTCAGAGGAGGTCCAAGGAAATGGGAAAGAAAGACAGTTCAGGGAAAATACGGACTGCCCAGCTAAACTAATTAACAAGCAAAAAGCAAAAGCAAGCAGGATCAAGAGCAAAGGCAAAAGCAAAAGCAAAAAGCAAAAGCAGCACTATGTACCACCGTCTCTGTCCAGCAGACTGTGGGAGAGTGAGCAGGCTGATAAGAAAACAAAACTTCGCTTTTCAGAGCCAGTCTTGAAGGCACAGAACATAATATCCAGCATAAACAGGACAGATGACTAGGGATAGAAGCATCATAATATCACCCTAGGAAAAAGATACTTTTTGTAACTAGCTCAAGGAATGGAAAAGATAATCAAGAAATTCTTTGCATTACCCTATTTGGATAGACACCAAAATTCCAAGAGAAGAATTATTGCCTCCTTATCGGGAAAGCTCACACTTCGAGGAACCAAGAAGGTTGATTTACAAGATGGGGGGGGGGGGGGGGGGGAGTAGCTAAAATTAAGCAGAAGCACCCTAGTTTGAAAGGAATGTTTGAATCATGTATGAGATATATGAATATGCTGAAATAGAGATTTTCGGAGTTCACTTGAGCTGACAAAACAAATTTAACTTTTAGCTTGTAGAATCATGTGTTGAATTTTAAGAAACCTCTGCCATGGTACAAAGGGCATAGGGAAATGTAAATCTTTGAAGCTTCCTGCATAAAAGACAATACCGGAGAAGACCAGGGAATGCAAAGAACCTGGACAAGGAGGCGCCTCTGTTTCCGGGAATGCAAAGAACCCAGATAAAGAGACCACTCTGTATCCAATCATATCAAGGCTAACAGACATACTCAGATAAGACACCAAAGGACCGAAAGCGCATGCGCAGAGGCGGAAAGTTCAAAAGTTCAATCCAGAGGAAGACTACAATTTTCAGCCTCAGAAGACCAACAGAGACCCCCGCGGGACCACCACAGCAAACCACGCATGCCCAGAAGGGCGTGGACCTATTTATCATGAGAGGCGAGGACAGGCGGGGCCAGGGGTTGAATATGCATAGAAAAGTTGTGTAATGTATTGCATATGGAACACCTTTTTGAATAAAGATGTGGGACAGACTGTGGCTCGGGGCACAAGTTTTTGGAGAGCTATCTCACTTGTGCCGGGCGCTGAAATACATACCCACTTCATAACTACATTGAGTTGTGGAGTCTATTTATTTATTCCGTGTATCGCTTCAATGCAATAGGGTATTGCTTTTAAGGGGGAATCCTTTGTTAGCAAGGTGTGCTTTTTGGCAGAGTGGCAGGCACCCAGATATCCGTAATTCTTTGCTTTTTATTTTCTCTTATTGTCCTAATTTTTATTACTATTTTCATTTCTATTAAACTTCTAAAATTTTAACACAAGTGAATGGCGTTTTTTACAATTGGTGGCTCGTACAGGGATCTAACACCTTGCTTCTAAAACCTCAGAGGATTCCCAGTGAGGGAGACGCGCCCTGTCAAGTTTGGCAGCCTTGCTCTTCTTTTTCTGGCATGATTGGCAGATGCAGTTTCCTACTGGGTGGACAAAAAGAGACAATAAAACAAAAAAAAGGGAAAAGGCTCCCTAAAACCATGGTAATTGGCCCCCTAAGACTAGTGTACACGAAGACCCGGTGTTATGGTTTGATGTTGGTGTAATGTTAATGCTCTTATGAAAATGTACTTTCTTAAATAACTGTTGTGAGATGTGATCTGGAACAGAGTAGAGAAGGCTTAAACTTAATAATAAAGGGAAAGAAAACTTTATTGAACAACTACTATGATAAAGGGGGGGAAAAAAGGAAAGAAAAAACACACACTAAATCTAAAATGAAAACTTTCTAAAACATTCTTCCTCCCCCACCCAACTCTAACAAACTACAGTGAGACACAACTTGGACTCTTAATCAAGTTATCACTCTTCAATATAATCAATACTAAGTCTATTAGGGGAGAGAGGAGTCTTCCTTGCGCTATAGACCCCCCAGGAAACACTTCTTGTGTTTCCATGTCACAGTGCTGTCACTAAAATGTATGGATAGACTGTTCATAGGGCTCCTTTAAGGATGCTTTGCCAAGGACTAACAGCAACAAGTTTAGTGTCTCATTTTGGGACCACAGTCCCCCCCATTTTCCTCCTCCCCTGGGGCTGAGGGTGAGAACAGAGATCTTCTTTCTCTGTTCATTCCTGCACTGGTAGTTGTTGAAGTAGGTCTCTTGGCTCACTATGCATCCCCCTAAAATGCAGTCTCTCTTGGAGGAGAAATTGGTTCAGTCTACGGCTAACAAGAAAAGTCCAGCCAAAAGCCACCCCATCATCTCCCCCCAACCTTCTTTTCCTAACATTTCAGGTCCCAGGCTGTCTCTCTTCTTCTCTTTCAAAACGAGGAGCAGTAATATTTCACAAAGCTTTCATTTCTTAAGGAAGGGTTAAAATTACCAACTCCCCGCATGGCTCTCTCGTCCCAGACTCCAGCTCCCACACTGGGAACCGTCCCACCCGCCCTTCTCCTTCTCCACGGCCGGAGAATTTCCAGGTGTCTTTAAGCTCTCTATCTCTTCCCCTCTGGGGGGCAGGGGGGTAACAAGAACATCTCAGCCTTCCTCCACCCTTTTGTCTGCAGGAGCTGGCCAGGTTCCAGTCCTCCCACCCTTCAGCCTACCTCAGCCAGCCCGCATGGCTTCCCCTCCCCCACCCAGCTCGTGGCTGGGCAGGGGAGAGTCTGCACTCTCTGATGACCAGAACTAAAGAGACAGTTCTCCTGGGAGTTCTGGTTTTTAACCCCCTGTGTTCTGAGAGGCATGTCCAGCCTTCAGTGGTCACTCCAGATGCTAATATCTAAACATGACACTGATTGGTTTGACTACCTGTCCTAGTTTAGGGCAAATTTGGGGAAAACCCTCTGAAAGGAGCCCCCAGAAAACAAACCCCCATGGGCCCTCCCCACCCACCTGGTTCGGGAAAAAATTTCCTCTGAGAGAGAAGTGGAAAAGAACCTGTTTATTCAACGAACAAAGCACTCCCCAGCACCAAAACAATTAACAACACCAGATGACAACAAAACTCTTTCACCACTCTGAAGAGATGAACCAAATCCAGAAAGTCTTTCCTGGGAGTGGTCACCCGGGTCTGGACGCTGGGGATTGCTCTCCAGCACTGGGGATGGCTGCTGCAGATCACAAAGTGCAGGCTCCTGGTGTTCCTTGGTGTTTCCCAGATCCCAGTCCGGAGCAGGTTGGATGGTATTCAGGAAGAGGAAAGGAAAAAGCAACAGTCCAGGGAAAGAATTGGACT